CAGATGGTTACAGTCGCTTCGCGACTGCAACCATCTGGCCTTCGGGCTACCCTACATGTCCCACTCCACCACATCCTGTCCCACCTCCATCAATACCCCCCATGGCCGAAATCCCCTTCAAAAACGACCTAAATACCTTCCTGATGGCTTTAGATACCCCCCATGGCCGAAATCCCCTTCAAAAACTACCTAAATACCTTCCCGACAGCTTCAGATACCCCCATAGCTGAAATCCCCTTAAAAAACAAAAATAACGACCGACCCGATGGAATGAGAGGAAAAAAAGAAATGAAATCCCCCCGTGAAAATTTTCATCCACGAAACGCGCGCCACCTGGCTCACTATGTCCAAAATCACTCCAACCTCCGTCCCCACCCCTTTTACTAAGGAAAAGACTTTCAAAGTTAATTTTAATAATTTAAACTAAAACTTTTTCGTAATTTTTTTATCAGTTTGGGGGTTTCCGACCACACTCTATCCGAATCCGAAGAGACCTAAGCTCTAGCTCCTTTCCCCTTCGAGTTGAATTCGGTACCTGACAGACAGAGACCACAACAAAATTATTATAGTTGATTTTTCAGTATTCCGGAGTGGTGAAGCCTTCGGTGGGCATGATGCGACACGACATTCCGCATTCATGGCGTCAGCAAATCGGACTTGCCGTCCGCCAGCTCAAGTGTGCCATGTGCTTCGAAGGAATTCCTAGGGTATTGAATGCGAGTTAAAATAATAGACGCAAATTTAGATGGGCTATGCAATGCGGTGCAACATCTGCGAGGTGGTCGTTCACCGTCGCTGCACAAGGCGCGTCAACAATACATGTGGAATGCCAGCTCAAGTATGAATTCTTTAGTGAATACGATTAATTCTTTTTTTTTCAGTACGCCGAATACTACCATGATTGCCAGGAAAAGGTCGTCAGGAAGGCGATGGGCTCGAATTCGAAGTCGATGAACGGCTGGGTCCGGGTCTACAGGTAGTCACTGGTTTTCAAAAACTTAGCATTTTTTGGCATGACGTTTGAGGTTCGAGGGAATCCTACCTTATATAATTTGGTCGCGTATCTTTGTGTGTGTGCGGATGTCACTTTCGAGGCCCGACTTGAGGGCCCGACTTCTTGCCAGTTGCACTTTCGAGTTTGGTCGGGGAAGGGGGGTCCGCAGGACCCGAGCTATCGGAGTCAAATTTTTCATGCAAAGGCCGCATTCCAGCGCCCAAGGCCCGCGAAGCGGGTTTTGGGCGCTGGCTTCTTATGAATTTCTGCATTCTTATAACAACTTTTTAGCACACGCGAACCGAAATGGCTAAGCAGTTTCGCGGTCTTGGACAAGGGCCGCTTGAGCTTCTTCGACAAGGAGCCGCTGGCTGGTCAGCTCGACAACCCTCGTCTTCGGCTGGAACTCGATAACAAGGCCTGGTCCGTGCGCTTTTTGGGTGAAGGCCCCAATGGTGAAAGGGACGGCGATTTCAACAACTGCATCCAGGTGCTAGGTTTTACTTGTTTTCTAAAAGTTTTTTGCCAGATCCGTCATCAAGGAGAGGTGATCCACATCATGTGCCCCACCGATAGCGCCACTGCGCATTGGATGGGTTCCTTGCAGGTAATATTCTTTGGGGTCTCCAGATCCTAATTTTAGGCGGCCTCAAAAGATCGTCATTTCATGACCCGTAGCCCGTCAGCTTTCGCCAACAATTCGTTGGTGTTAGCCCTCGATACACCGCAGAATCTCAACGTGAACGCCGTCAACGTGTTCGATGATTGGTTGCTGGTAGGCGTGTGGTTGCGTGGATTTAGCCATGTGTCTTTTAGATCGCTGCTCAAGAAGGCCTTTTTGCGACGCCGATCGCCGATCCACGCAACCCGTTCCCGTTATTCTGCTCTGGGGCCTTCCATTCCGTTCTCTACATCAAGGATGTCGACGTCGTCGTCACGGTGTCCAATCAAAATCGTCAATTGGGTCTGATTTCGGCGTCGGAATTGAGGTGGGTTTACCGAAATTTTTTCATTTTAAAATTTTTGATTATTTCTATTATTGTATTTTTCTTCTCATCATTAACCTTTTCAGGATCCAGCTCAACCAGCCCCGTCCGACCGTCCACCTACAGAATCTGCCCGGAATCGAATACGCGCACATGATCGAGTACCATCAGGAGGGCCAGCAAAAATATCTACTTGTGGCCGATGCTAACTCCATCCACATCCTCCAACAGAAACGCGATTTCTTTGCGCCCTGCTTGGTAAGCATCCACAACCCCGATTTTCACAACTTTCCGTTAGAAACTGGAATTGGATGAGCCGGCCACGTGCATGCTCTCGGCCCACGGTGGCATCTACTATGGTTCCGACAAATACTACCATGCGACGATGCTCTACTCGGGCAAGCCCAAGATTGTCGCCCTCACCGAAGAACACATGGCCGATTACCCGATGGCTGTCTTGGAGACTGGCGACGATGAGGTGCTCCTGGCTTACCAGAGTAAGTAGCTTTAAAATCGGCTTGAAACCCTTCTTAGACCATGGCATCTTCGTGAACAGCCGCGGTGAACGGACAAGAAACTCGATTGTTGAATGGGAATTGACACCGATGGAGTTTGGTAAGAGCAATTGGAAGTTTCGTTAATTTGCTTCAGCCTACTCGAAGCCGTATCTCTTTGTTGTCCATTGTGACTCGCTCGAGATCATGCAAGTCTACGAGAATGAGGGCCTGAACTCGCGCACGGTTTCCGAGGAGCGCGATGTCTACAACACGAAACAAGCTCACATCGTTGGAAATGGACCTTCTGATGAGGTAATTTTTTATTTTTTGTTTTTAATAGTCTCCGGCCACTAATTAAACCTTTAAAAAAGACTTCGAAAACATTAAGTTTCTGGTCGTATTGCGGCATTTCTAATCGATTGTTTGTTTCATTTTTATTTATTTTCATAAGATAATGAATTTTTGCTCAAAAAGCCAATGTTTTCGCAACCTTTTTGTCATTCTATGTAGGGGGTTCTGTATTAAAAAGCTTTGCATTGTTTTTAAAATGGTTTACTTTTTGCTATTTTGTCGGCTAGGCACCAATGAAAGGAGTTTTGTTACCTTTTTCTCTTATTAAGCGGCTACTTTTGTATCGCATAATTTACTCACACGGTTTTTTATAACAAACCTTTTAAGGTTTTGGTCACGATCTCCAGCAGCCAACGCATGGAACTACACTCGTTCGGCGTTAAATCTGGGGTAAATCTTGAATTTCTAGCAACGAAATTTTTTTTAGAAACGAGGCGGCAGCAAGCGACGCGCCATCACCAACGCCTTCGGCAGCTTTGAGAAGAAAATCCGCCCCGTCATCTGAAAGCCACCCCTCCTCACCTGTGCTTATTATTATACTGCGATATCCCATATTTCATCCTTTTGTTTGTCGATTTCATATATTCTGTGCACTACATTTTTATGTTTCTACCTTACTAACTGCTTCACCTCTTCTGTGCATCTTTCGATTTACACTCGCCGGCGACAAACGGCTCGCGTTTGGCGTTGTAGTGTCATAATAAAAGGCGATCTCCTATTGACAGCCTCACAGCCCGGACACATAGCTGTTTTCTTCGCAATCTTGTCTATACACCGCCAAGCGTAATTTGGTTATACTAGTTTTGTTATTTTTCGGGTTTCGCGGGGTGGGACCAAAATGATGACCACTTGCAAGAACGGCGATTTTGCAAAAGTTTCATTTTCAAGAAATTTTTTTGGAGCTTCCTTAGGAACCCTATCGACGGTGCACTTGACTACGCCTTGTTGCACGCATAGCCTGCTCAATTTCCCTGGGAAACAACCGCGAAAAATGGATCCAAAGTCATTTCCGGTGGTGTAGAGCTTAGGGACAAGCACAGGCCCGACGGCCATTTATATAATTTTCGCCAAGTCGTGCTAGCGCAGAGGCGACCCGAGTTTTCTCGCTAGGTGAACGACGCCCGAAACGAGTCGAATTTGCATAGCCCGCCCGGGTGGGGGTCGAGGCTCTTTGTCAGTGGGATATTGCTGACGGGCCTGGATCGAAGGTCGAATGGAAGGGAGGAGGTTTGAGCGTGAAATTTTAGATTCGAGCTCCGGTTCTAGGAGTACCTCGAAATCTGAAGAATTGGAACGCGCTCATCTACAGGCCTGTGCTCTACTAGGCACGCCAATCGGCGACATGACAGCCCAAATGTCGGCATGTTGATGAGTACATGGAGGGGATCACCGATCCGTTGACGAGCCCCTGAGGGCACATTTTATGGACGAATCGATGGGATCGGGGCCTGGGGGAGGCCCGCGCGAGACCCATAAAGAAGGCCCATAAACGGGGGCGGAGTCCGAGGCCGAAGCGGGTAGAAAGAGCGAAAGAGAGAGGGGGAAGCAGCCCTGCTTGTGTCGGTCGCTTGCCCCGCCTCAACCAGCAGCCCCACCCACCAGAAAGCCCTCCCTGGTGCTCAACACCACTAAATATCAGGCTTCCCTGGGTTTTACTAAAATTTTTAGCAGTTTTCTTTCTCCCTCAATTTATGAAAATTTGACATTTCGCTTTCCATTGCCTTGGCTTCCGCTTTTTGTTAGAATTGGCTCATTTTTTAACCAGAGCCGCTTAAAATTCCAAAATTTAAAGTGTAGGTTTAATCTTTTACAACGGTACGCAATTATTTATCCTCCTAGACACAGATGCTTTTTCATCTGAGCATGCTTTTTCATTTTAAGCAGCATACGGTAGCCCACGTCTATTTGCTAAAAATCGTGCCTTCCACGTCCCTTTAATATCTGGCTTTAGATGGCAATCTGGAAAGAATACCTAGATATCCTAGGGTGTTTTTAGAAATGAAACGCTCTAAATTTCATTTTATTCATTTTAAAAATGGTGATGGGTTTTCCAGAGCTAGCAGTGTGTCCCTTACAGGCAGGCCCGTAGGAGGGGCCCAGGGGCCTGGGCCCCCGAAATCGGTCAAGGTCTGAAAAATTCATAAGGGGGGACCCTTATGATTTTTAGTTACAAAAATTTTTCTGCCTGCGGCGCAGTTTATTACTGTTTTTCAAACAGTTTTTACTTATATGAAGCCTATTTTTTCAAAATTTTTTGCCTGCGGCGCTGGTTTTTCATTGGTGAATCAATTGTTCATAAAAAAAGTTTCGCCTGCCGCGCGTTTTCTGCCTTGTTTTCACACGAATTTGAGTGTAGCGAACGCTTTTTTGCTATTTTTTTTGCCTGCGGCGCTATTATTGGCGCGATTTTCGGATGTTTTAAAAGTGACGAGGGGGGGAGGTCGCCAAAATTTTTGGGCCCCCCCCCCCGAAATTTCGGTCCCGCTACGGGCCTGCTTACAGGTAACGTTTAATGTATTTATTTTGACAGCATCTTCGCGTTCAAAAACATATTTTTAGTTCCGCAATTTTTTTAAAAATTAACCGACAATTTTCGACCTCTAGCCGTAATCTAATGATTTCCCAAGTGCCAGCTCGTGATATCTATCCCTTTGGTGGATTTCTAGCCAGTCTGTGTTCGTCTATAGGGTTCTCCTCCCCCTCCTTCTGCTGCTGCTGCTCCGGCTCTGTGGGGCGACGATGGGGGCCAATAAATTTGCACCCCGACGCAAAATATCGTCTTCGAGCGCCCATTTCAGGGGGGACGAGGAGGGGGAGGGTTGGGCTGTCCCGCTGACCGGATAGGATCTTTCTCTCACTCCACTAGCCACCCAAACCAACACCCACACGCAAATCCCAGGCTAGCGCGGCCGTTTTGTGTTTTTATAATGTTTTTTTTTATAAATCTATAGGTTCTCAATTTTTATAGTTTTTTTTAGTCAAGTTTGTGCAGATTCTGCTGTGTTTTTGATGTCAGATAAACGGAAAACCAGGCCTTTTCGGTAAAGGTTTCTTACCAGGGGGGGGGGGCAGAGGTACGGAGGTGAAATTCAATAGATTATGCAATATACGGGCTGCTTCCATCAGATCATTCCATCGTATAGTTCATTAAAAACTAGACTAAGAGATTAGATTTCAGCCATAAATACCTTAATTTAAGGTCATTACTTTATTCTACCAAGGATTTCTATGAAGGAAAATTGCTGTAAATGATTTTTTTGGGCTGCAATAAAATTTCTGGCTTTTTCTTGATATTTCCAGCTTTCATTTATTTTTATCTTCTGTGAATGTCTACACTTCTCTCTGCCTTTCTCATATCACTTCCGGTCGCATTAGTGCTCAACCTCTGCTTCCATCTGCTAAAAACCTTCGATTGTTCCAGTTGTCTAACCTTCGCGTTTCAAAAAATTATACCTCGTTTTTTTTCAGGGAACTCGACCAGAAAGCGGATGCCCGAAATGGGGCTTCGGATGGCCTCCACCACGCCGATTTCCTTTTTATTTCTGCTGGTCTCCTCCGTGACGGCCACCAGCGGCGAGTCGATGTTCAAACAGGTACAGTCGTTGCTCTTTTCAAAATTACCCCCGGGATCGACAGTATTATCGTGTACCCGGCGGGGGTCGGAAAATGAGTCAGGCAGACGCAAGCTCGCGCGCGGCGAATGACGAAGCGTAGCCCCGTGTGTTTCCCATACAACTTGGTTCCCTCCCCCCGGGCCATTCAGCCTATTCATCAGAGTCTGTCGAGGGCATCGGCCGGATCAGAAAACACCCTTCAAACCCCCCCCGCCCCTGTATTGTGGCCGGCGATTCGGCATTACGATATAAAAGGATGGTGCTACTAGGAAAAAGGTGTATAGACCTCGTCGGGGTGTTTGGTAAGTCGCCCTGAGCATATTGTGAAAATTATAAAAATGAGGAGCCTAAATTTTAAGAGACGCATTGTAAAGCTTTAGGGGTACAGCTATTTCACTAAGAAAAATTCGAACCCCTTATTAAATTTTAAACTGAATTTTGTGAACTTTTGACTGCTGTCCTTGTTTCAGAAAGTGAGGCTAACGAGGATTTTCCCTTTTTCTGAAGAACTACCATTTTGAGAGCGCATGATAATGATTTTTTCGCAAAAAGTGATTCCTAGAGCTCATCCGAGCATACTTCTTTTCTCTTAAAAAATAGTTTCTCCATTCTCTCCTAAAAATTGCTAACATTCTAAAGAAAAGAACTCTTGAAAGTAATAAAAGTAATCACATGAAAAGTATTTTATACTGTTTTTAGTAAGCTTTAGCTATATTAGACGCTAATAAGTTAGAAAAATATTAGATAAGTGCAAATTCGGGTCATTTTGGGTAAAAAAAATTTTTTCGGCCTAAAATCACATTCTTTATTAAAATCTATGGTTTTAGAAATTATTTATTTATTATTAGAATTTATCTACTCAAGAACTCGCGAATGTTGATCCAAATTATCTCCAGAGACGTTTCTACCCCAATTGCGCGCCATAGGCTTGACCCCCCATATTTTACCGGCCACTCTAATTTAGCGAAGAGCAAACGGAGAACGTGAAGCTGGGCCTCCCCCAGCTGAGCTAACGGTTAATGGGTTTTGTGGGGGGCCCCCGATGGGGGCTAATGTGGGTTTGTGCTTGGAGGGCAGGTGGGACACGGTGTGTGTGTGTGCCCTTCTAGCGATGATCAATCGAAAGAGGAGAGGTTGGTGCACGAGGAGTCGGGCCGGGGGCCGTTGGTTTCCCGCCGGGGGCCATTCGGGCCCATAAAAAGTTGACCGGCTCAAGGGCACCCAGTATGTAGCCCCCCCCCCCCACCCGCTGCACCCACCACCACCATCCCCCAAACACACCCAAATCCAACCAGCCCCGCGCAAAAACCGAGAAATCGAGCTAGAATTTGTGGGGATCATTAAATTTGTATAACTACAAAATACGACTCCTATTTCCGTTTTTTTCCCTCTAGAGGGGCGCAAAATTCATGATCCAATATGCAAGAAAACTTTTGCTCACAATTTTTGGCCGGGAATAATGGATTGTAAATTAAGAAAAACGAGTATAGAGGTTGAAAATCGTGAGGCATTTACTATTTTTACAACAAATCCAGCAAAACAACACTTCTTTTTTTATATTAACGTAGGCGAATCGGATCTCATTGATTTTTAGCCCATTCAGAAAGGCAAAAACGGCGATCTTGCTAAAGTCGAGAGTTCTTATCCTACTATATATAAAAAAATAGTGTATGTGTGTGTGTGTGTATATTTGCATGCAACTTGCGTGAGTATGTACCGCACCTACAGCCTCAGGGGAAGGTTTTTAAGGGTCGTATGATACGTCATTAGGTGCGTAATGGCGCCGAGATGAGTGCACACACATAAAAGTTTGGAAAAATTACTGTTTTCGCTATTAAAATAGAGTTTTTGTAAAGATATCGAGAAACCTCTTTGTTAGGAGGCAATTTGCATGCGCCGGAAGTGGGGTAAGCCTATATAAGGGCGCAGAAGGGGCTTTTTTTGATTTTTTTTTGCGATCAAGGTCCTGAAAGAATATGCATATTTTTGACTACCATGTGCTTTAGACGGGGCCAGGGTTGAAAAGCCGCGAAGCGGTTTTTCAACCCTGGTCTTCTTTAAAAGCTCCACTTTTAAGCTACTTTCGTAAATTTGCGTTTTTTCCAGGTCCGTTTACCCAAAAACTTTAAAGTTCGCCATCCACCTGTGACCAGAATTCACCAGAAGTTTCTGATAGATATAAAAGCTTAGTAAACTTAAGTTGAAGCAAAATTCAATAGAAAATACAACCTTTCAATTAAAAAAATATTGTAGCGCCAGCAGTTCGCCATATTCCCGAGCCTACGAATGGTATCAAAATCATTATGATCGGAGCCTTCTACCTCGATATCGAGGGATTTTCGTTTTTTACCAAACCATCAATCCAAGCCCCGATCTCCTCCCGCCCCTATCCGTTGCCCCTCTTCTACCGTACCCCAACACTAGGTCCATCTAGGGCTTGATGTGCGTGTGGTCCATGATGTCCCCCCGCTCCGCGTTTTGGCGGTTTCCTCAAAGCGGCTTCCCTCAAAAGCCCCATAAATACCATAAAGCGACGCCCTCCCAGGGTCCCCCTTCTCTCCATATCGGGATTCTTGAGGGGCGAACAACGAGGATGCTTATTGCCTGGAGCCTGGTGTGTGGCAGGGAGAATGGGTACGAAAAAGGGCCAAATATCCCCGGGTCGATGGGTCTAAATCGCTGAAAATGCAAAAATGTCAGCCAATTTTCCGAAAAAAAAGACTGATTTTTCGTAAAAAAGGGTTTTACTGAAAATTCCTGGGTCTCTGTTGAATTTTAGGACTTTGGAATTACCTTTATGTTGAGCCACGGCCGCGATACGCAACGCATTGTCGCGCTTTTTCCATACGTAATGGATAAAATTTCTCGAAAGCGCAGCGCATTGCAGCCGAATCAAGTATTTTGGTCCAAAAATAACTTTGCCGCGACACGCAACGCACGCTGGTGCGTTTACACTGCGTAATGAATTGCGTTCCTCGCGCGCGTCGCGTTACGCGGACTAAAATCGTAGTGAATATTTGGGTGCAAAAACAAGTTTTATATTGCTGAGATTGCCTTTGTATCTATAGATTCCCTGTAGTTTTCGACGCTCTCGTGACGCTCTCGTGACGCACTCGCAACGCACGCTCGCGAGTATAAATTGCGTAATCGGTTAAATCCGCGAGGGTCCGTGAGCGTTGCGTATCGCGGCGACCGCAACCCCACGGTTCTGCCATAGCCATCCCTTTAAATCTTTCCAAATTCCGACCCCAAACTTTTAACTATACGAACTCTCCCAACTAAAGCCACCCATTCGACGCGCCAAATAAATCGACGACCCATAAAAAGTTGTGATGCGACGCGGCGGCGGCCCCATATTTAGCGTCGCCCACCCCAGCCAGCCCGTCCGGGGTCCCTAGCGTCTAATGCCCTGGCCCGGGGGGGGCTAGATGCCCGTAAAATTTGATGTGGTTTTGGAGTTTGAGCCCCTGGGGGGAGCGAGGGCTTATGGTTTGGTTTCGTACGGGATTGGCAAGCGTTTGTTGTATCATAACGTACAAAAAACTGCGCGCGGTTCACCCGGTTGAGGAAATCAAAGAGAGCACAAGGGGCATGAACATGACTTTTTTGCTATGGATTTTTGAAAAATTTGTCTTTTTTGACACTTTCACGGCTCTACCGCTCCGAAATGGACATTAGCGAATTTCTTCGATCCACGCCGGTGGAGTTCTTGGTACTGGATTGTTAGCAGGGGGGACCAATTTATATTTTTCCGGCTACGCAGTTTTTGCGTTTCATCGTATTTTTATAATTTTTTTGTAGTTTTTGATTGCTAGAAAGCTAAAAAATATTAAAAATTTTGGAAATTGGACAATTTTGAGTTTTTAATTTTTAGAAATTTTTGTATTTTGTTACGACTTTTTACATCTAAAAACTGTGGAAAATGCTATGAAAATGGTTTATATTTTGTTATTATAGGACTATACAGGACTACTGAGAAAATCCCCCCCTGCTATCAGTCCAGTACCTTCATACAATGGGCGTCCCTTCAACCCATAAAATCTCGGATTAGGAACCTATTGGCACCTGGTAATGCCGTTGCGCCCCCCCGCGCAATCTGCCCAATCACCATAAAAGCCAGCCCAGATTACCGGAGGGTTAGTTGCGCAGCAGCTTTTCTATTGTTAGCCCGAGGGGGAACGGTTTTATGGCCGGCATGACAGCTCGGAAACTGGCTGATTTTCGTGGGACGTAGGCAGCCCTCACATTTCTCACAGTGACGATTTTCCCATGACCAATCTTGAAAAGGGCACACTCCCCTGGAATTTATACAAAATTATTCAAAGCCGATCCGGCGTTCACGCTTTTTTGGGAACGCTCCGTTCCGGGGAATGGCATCGAATTGAGGAAAGGAGGAAGAGCAGGGCAGAAAAGCCGAAAATGCTCTTTGAGAACTTTATGAATTACTTTACAAAACATTCCTAAAATATATTTTTCAGTCACTGAAGGGGCGATGTCAACGGATCGAAATCGAGCTCTGCAAGGACATCCCGTACAACATGACCTTTCTGCCGAACCCGATGCTCGGCCACGATCAGCCGAATATGCAGACGGTTGGTTTTTGTGTTTTGTTTTTTTAAGCTTTTTTATTTTCCGAAACGTACCAATACAAATGACGCCCCGATAGTGTGCGTTTCGGGAAAACGTCAACTGCTGTTTGTCGTTGTTGAGGGTCGCGATCGTACTGATTTTTGGGGTGTAAGTAGCTTTAGGGTGGAGCCAATTAGGTGAAAAATCTCAGATTTTCCCCCAGATTTTCAATCACTTTTTCGCTGTTTTAGCGCTTTTTCGATTTAAAAAATTCTATATACCATTTCTTTTTGCCTCTTATGCTTTAGAACGTATCAACCCCGGCCGTCCAATAACACTGTCCGGAGTTTTTACGTGTTCCGGCGCCGCGGCGAAAAGGTGTTGGAGGGGCGGCTAGTTCAATCGCACGCGCGCTATCAGCCTATTTCTCGCACATTTTATGGCCCCGGGGGGCTCTCAGGCTGCCACGGGATTGCCCCTCAAACAATTCGCCCCGCCGCCTAACAACGGGCCCGGCCCATGTGAAAAAAACTTTAAAGGGACGGGCATGGTTTAGCTATGGATTTCAGGGGATTTTTGACCTCGATTGCATTGCGTAATCGACTACGGCGCGTTGCGTGTCGCGGGAGCGATAAAATTCATGGAGGGTCTATAGCCGATAAAATCTAGATTTTGGCTTAAAGGGATGCCGACGGCATAGACAATCGGTTACGCGCGGAAAAGAAAATGTCTCTGCGCCTCTCCCCTGGGCGCGCTCTCTCCTCTGTTGGCTACTTGCCAATTTGTTGATGAGGGGGGATCGACACATGCCGTCGGCAGCCCTTTAAGGGACCTTTAAACCGCACCGACAGGTGTATGCTACATGGGCGCCTAATTACGCAAAGAGAAAAACGTAGGTGTAAATAGGTGCGCCCACGTAAGATTTGCCTGATGGGCGCTTTAAAGGATATTTTCGGTTTAGATATTTCGGTAGTAAAGTAATTAAGCCGCTTAAGCTACTAAAATTTACTTAAACTTAAAAATGATTTTAGCAAACTACTTTAAAAATGAGTTTTTTAGCAAAAAGAGTTTTAGAAAAAAATACAGTAATTCTTCCAATGTCTAACCCACTTTTCCCCCAAAGGTCCTCTGCTAGCCTGCCCCTACCATCGACTATTGATAAGTATATGGAGATTTATATACCCGGCGCCCTATTCGTATCGCCAGGACCCCAGAAAAATTCCCGGAATCCACGAAATAGGGGGGCCAAGCCCAGAAAAGAACACAGGGAGAGGCTAATTCGATGATTTGCCAGCGGGGCCCCGCCGTACACATCGCCCCAAAAGACGATCTGCCCCTGCCGAAGACCCACAATCCAATTAGGACCCACTTTTTCTTGAAGGGCCCACCGCAGAGGATGGTGCATTCCGAAAAATGGGGCCAAGGAGGTGTTTAGGGGTGGAAAACAATAAAACAAGGTGATTTCGTGTTTTTTTAGATCGATTTTAAAACGAAATTATTGTTATAGTGCTATTTTTGTCTGGAAAATAATTTATTCTGATTCTACAGATCAAGGGCTTGATTTTGGTATATTTTGCAGCGTACAGGTCGATTGGGGGCCCGTGATCTAGAATTTTGAATCTGAGAAACGATGATTTTTTCAAAGTTTTTTCAGCCTTTAAATTTTTTAAGCATTTTTTGACAAGAAAACAACTTTTCTAGAGATTCTCGGCAGGTCCTCGGCCACGGCGATCATTTTGAACCATTCGGCGCATGAATAGGACCTAGGGCTGATGAGCTAACCGCAATCCCAAGTATACCTTGACGTCCGAAACCCTTTAGACACCGTAATCTCATCTATCCCTTCTCCCTGTGCCTGTCACACTCTAACGGGGGCCATAGCCAGCCAGCTGGAGGCATTTTATAAATTGGATGGCGGCCCCGGGGCACAAAAAAGGGTACGCGGATCCATCATCTCCTGCCCCCCTGGCGGGCCGTGGAAGACTCGGATTGATGCCCACCATCCGTCTAACAAGCCCTCGAGAATAGCGGTATGCGCGTTGAATGGGGGGCACCCGGAGAAGCTCGGATTGAATTTTAGGCTGGATGGTATTGGAATGAAATGTACCTTACGGTTTTAAGGGAGAGGGTTTTACCGTGATGCTAAAGACCTTAAAACCGGTTTCGAAATAACGAGAGACCGAGCCTTAGCGATTTTTTTCGGGGAGAATCTCGGCGGAATTTGAGCGCCATCGGTTGGGATTGCGACGTATTTTACGGGTTCATGAAAGAAAATCCCGTGGTTCCAAAAAGCGAAAAATTGAAGAACTCGGATCGATTTTTTCATGGTGAACCTCAGACTAAATTTGGGCTAGATGGATTGAGAATGAGTTTTTTAAAGCTAACGGTTTTAAAGCCAGAAAAATTTAATTAATAAAAAGTATCTAACTTTTTCGAAGAAAGTACATTTGCATTTCTTTATTCATATTAAATGGTAAATTTCCCCCAAAAGTATTGTTTCATCGGATTTTTAGAGGGTTTCGGACAATTTTCGGCCCTTTGAAAGCAAAAAAATTGGCTATAGCCTTTAATCAGAGTTCTTCGGCAATTTTAAAAAAGCGGATCCGGAATCAGCGAAAAATTCTGCACCTATGGCTTGACTTAAAGCAATTAGCTTGAAATGAATAAAACACGGCCCTGTGTCCAAAAAACGCCCACCAAAAACCCACGTTTTTTCAGCTCCAAGCCCAAACCGAACAATTCAAGCCGCTGATCAAGACGAAATGCCATCCACATCTCCAATTTTTCATTTGTTCCGGTAAGTGTCTTCTACCGCCTACACAACAATCCGCCATTTGACAGTGTTCGCCCCGATGTGCCCCAAGGACATCCCGCAGGCCGTCACCAGTTGTCGATCGTTGTGTGAACAGGTGGGCCATGTCAACGGTCTCTGCTAGATGGTCAGAAAAAGCGAAATTCAGCTAAAATTAGAAAAATTCCGGTTCTTTAGCATTATCGGCGGGTGGGGGATTTATTCTGGTAAGTCGAGAAATGCCGAATATCGTTATAGTGAGTGTTTTAACAGTGGTTTAGCAAATTTAACTATATTTTCAGGGGAAACTATAAAAAAAACTAGTTAGAAAAAGATTTCTAGGTGAAATTTTTGTCGAAAATCGGCCATTTTTGGGTCGAAAAATCGATATTTTGTGTATTTTAATAAACATGCGTAAAGTTTTTACCTCTAGAAAGAGTAAAGACTAGAAACACTTTCACTATTTATACGATTAGTGATTTAGAAAAAAGTAAAAGTTGCCCCCCCCCCCCCCCCCGATAATGCAAAAGAACCGAAATCCTTTCTAACCTTTGCAACATCCCAACCGGCCGTAACTTTTCTAACAACCCGCCCTGGAGCGGGCTGCTTCTTCTTTTTCTTCCGGGGCCCTCCCGTTTGGCCCCCGGGCCCCGGCCATAAAATCTGGAACTCATTCCGGCGTTCAACCGGAGAAGGGGAAGAAGAAAGTTTGCGGAGGGATTGTGGAGGCAGGGGTCCCGTTTGGAAGGGCCATATATCCCCACACATCTGGCACACGGTAATTGGCCGACGACGAGCCGACAGCCCTCCTTACTGCCCTTCCTTTGGTCGACCATTAGCACAGCAGCACCACCACCAACCAACCAACGGTCACCGCATTTTCAAATCGGTAAAACTGCGCGGGGTAGATTAAAACTTGGTGTTTTTATGGATACCCGGTAGAAAAAAAGACGAATGCCGCGAGAAATCGATGAGAGAAAGTCTGACAGATTTCCTGAATTTTAAAACTTGCCCATCGATACCGTATTTTTAGGATCGGGCTACAATTTAGCTTCACTGTTTTTAGGCAAAATTCGGTGATGACGAAATATAGCTGTTTTGGAGGTGTAGGTTGTAATTGTTTGAAAACGCGGCATCTTGCACGATTTTTTTCGAAACTACGAGATACTACGAGAAGTGTTCTGCTACTTTTACTTATTGTTTCATCTTTTTATAAGCACAAAAATGACATAAAGCTGTTAGGAAGCTCTAATCATCTGCTCTTTACGCTTTGACCGCCAACCCAATACTCAAAACAAGATTGTCCACCACCCCCCCCCCCCCCACCCCCCAAAACCCCCTCCCCCCCAAAATCCTTCACCCAAAATCCCAATCTATCTCAAATCCCCCCCCTCATCTTCTAAACCCCAAAAATTTTTTTTTTAATTTTTTTTTTTTTGTTTTTTAATTAATTATATAAATTTTTTTTTTTTTTTTTTTTTTTTTTTTTTTTTTTTTTTATTTTTTTTTTTTTTTTTTTGGGAATTGTGGGGGATTTTTATTTTAATTGTTTTGTGTGTTAGAAAAATATCTTTTTTTTTTTTTTTTTCTCCTCAAAAAAGCTTCTAGCTGTGGCCTAGCATTCCCCTAATTGAGGGGGCCTTTGTGTGGGACCTTATGGATGGGGCAGGGCAAAGCAGATGTTGAGAGAATAGAACGGGGTTCCTCCCGGCCGGAAGCATCGACCCCCGGGCCCTACACCGGAAATTGAGAACCCAGAGCACATCGGGATCATTACCCCCAATAGGGTGGGGGTGGAGTGATTTTCCGGGGGGTGAATGAAAGAATTGGAAATCATTTGGGGATTGATAGGCGAAACGGAGCAGTACGATATCAATATTTTGAGCAGTTCGGAAAACCCCGAATTTTTTAACGTAATCAGGAAGAGAAGGGTCGAATCCCTCGGGCTGTCTGGTTTTGCAAATTTGCAAAGCTCATTTTCGCGATTTAAACGGGAAAAAAAAAGCTTATTTTGATTCAATTTGACCATTTTCTGTCAGATAACGGTGATCAGGACTGGAAATTTTTTGAAGCCTTGTTCGGTCTTCGTGAAAACAGATTTTTATTAGCTGAAATTTCAGGTAAAAGCCGACTGCAAATCGATCCTCGACGAATTCGGAATCCCGTGGCCAGAGCCGCTGCAATGTGAGCGATTCCCCGAGCAGGCGAACGGCCTCTGCATGAACCCACCGGATGGACCAGAGCATCAAAAGTGCGTTTTTGTCTATTTAATTGCATCTTTTGCATTAGCAGTGGGTTCTAGAGTACATATTTTTCCTATACTATATTTCAAGTGAAACCCCGATCTGGAAGTCGTCGAAATATCTTTAAAATTTAAAATTTGGGCCGAAAATTCCTATTTCCCCGATTTTTTTCCATTTTCTTTAGTAAAAGGTTCTTTTACCTATAGGAAATGTGTATCTAAACAAAAGTTGCCCCGATAATGCAAAAGTACGGGCCTAGTATAATATTATATGCTCACCTTTTTTCAGGCCATCACCCGTCTTTCGCCCCTCCCTAACCCATCACACTTCAAAGGTATCGAAATGATTACTTCGGACTTCAACATACTACGTTTTAGGTGCCATCGTGCCCGAAATATCTGGTGAACGTCGACCCAGCGGACGTGAATGGCGTCTGTGCCCTTCCGTGTGATGTGAACGTCTTCTTTTCACAAGACGACAAGGATGGTAGGGGTTTTAGGAGCATTTTCGCATTAATGGTATTATAGTTGCGCGTCGAGTGATGGTTGTGATGGGGGCCGTCAACGTGCTGCTCGCCTCCTTCACCTTCTTTACGTATCTCATCGATAGGCATCGATTCCGGTTTCCGGAGAGGTGAGCAGCACGAGGTTTTGAGGTTTTTAAAGCTCGCAAGAGTTTTTTAAAAATAACTAAATTTTTCTAGTATTTTTTGTAAAATCACCCATAGCCTGGTTGCTCTTTTCATAAATGATGTTTTATGAATATTTTTTATTAAAAAACATACAATAACTTTTCTAAAACCAATTTTAGATGCGTCTTCTTCATGTCATTCTGTATGGCGCTACTTGCCCTCCCGCAGCTCTTCCCCGTCATCTGGCCGACCGTCCAGCAGCGTGCCTGCGAGACGATGCACAACGGAAATAGCTATTTGGTGGGGTTTTGTGGTTGAAATGCGGCTAGAATTTTATAACTATTTTATTTATAAAACTAAGTTACATAGGTATTTTTTTTATAAAAAACCTTTTCTATTCCTTTTACCACCTTTTATAGACATTCGCTGGCTACGAGAACCCGCGCTGTCTGCTCTCCTTCGCGCTCAGCTACTATTTTGGGATGGCGGCCAGTCTGTGGTGGTTGATGTTTGCGTTTACATGGTGGGTCTAAAGGGCTTTTCGTCCTTGTTACAAGTAACTTCGAGGTCTTGGTATCTTTTGGTGAGTTCTTATGCCCCAAAGATTTACTATGATTTTTTCCACTTTTTTTAAAAAGTTGAATTTTAATAGAAATGGCTACTAAAAATGGCTTTAGTAACTTCAATGGGATCCGTTTTAAGGCTATGTAGAACTTTTCAAATGATGTATTACGTTACGATACGTAATTACGTAGTACATAGTATGCAGATACGTTTAAAGATGCGCATAAACTTAATCTATAATCTTGTTGCAGGTACCTCTCAGCAGGCCGTCGCTGGGTTCCGGAAGGTGTCGAGGCTTGTTCCCCCTATGTCCATCTGATCGCGTGGGGCACTGCGGCGTTGGCCACCATCGTTGTGCTAGTTATGCGACGCGTAAGTGATTGCCTTGAAGATACACACCTTCAATGTTTAGGTTGACGCCTCCGAGTTGACGGGCGTGTGTTCTGTTGGCCAAATGGACGCGGAGGGGCTTCTTTTCTTCCAGCTTCTCCCGCGTGCCCTCATCACCGTCATGGGCACCTCGTTCATTCTGCTGGGGCTGTCGGGCGTTTGTCAAGAGGGTCAACTGCTGCGTAGAAGGGTAGGTTTTCGATCTTCAAAAATTGGGCTGGTTACGCTTTAACGGGGGGGCGAAAATTTTTCCCATAAGTCCATAAATTCCTAATAATGTAATAGTAAGTATTTTCATGGTGTTTTTAGTTAGATTTACTATATTTAAAATGGAAAACCTATCGAAAAACATGGAATATCTTAAAATTTTGGTCGAAAAAGCGAGATTTTTGTATTTTTTAACGAAGGTTTACAAGGCTTTTATGCCGAGGAATTGTAAAAACCTGTTTAAAACTGTTATTTATATCAAAAGATTGAATCCTGATAAATCCCCCCCGATAATGCCAAAGAGCCTTACTGACTGTTTTAAGTAAGCGCTTCCTCGCCGTCCCAAACACACGCGAAAGGCTCTGACAGCCTGCATTAAAATAAACTGATCAAAAGTCGATCGAAAGCCCTCCCCGCCTCTTTAGGACCCATCAGGGCCATCAGGGGCCCTCATGAATGGGCTTACACCCGCCCGAGTAATTGACCACGGCCCCGTGGCCCATAAGCGGTGAAGAATTTATCGCTCGGGCCGCACGGCGGGGGGCCCACCACTGCTCTTTTAGCCCCTGACGGGACAGCTTAATCCGGGCGAATGGGTTGAAATGTGGCCGTTTTTGGACGGGAGGAATGGAATGGACTTTTGGGTTATGGTAGACTGAAAGGCGGGCTGATCCAGGCCACTTCTTCAAAAAATGTAAAAATAGATTTTCGACCAAAAAATTTAGTTAAGAATTTTTACCACCTTTTTTGCTTCTTTGTCCACTTAAAATATAGTTAAATTTTGCCAAAACCTGTTTACCAGTCCCTAAACTTTCTTACTAAATAAACTACTAAACCTAAACATCAAATAAATATAGATTTTCGACCAAAAATGGCAGTTTTCGATAAAAATTTTTACTTTTTTTTCTGGAGGTTTTATTGTTTTCCACTTGAAATATTGATAAATTTCACTAAAACACTTTTCAAATATTTTAAAAATACTGACTATTAGATTATCCGATTTCCGATTTTTGAACTTGTAGGAAAAAAAAATAGATTCCCCGACAATGCGAAAAACCCTAATAAATTATAATTTACGGCATTAATTATACCGTGGTCTTTTGAGAGGAATCTGTTACTTTAATCATTGTAATGGGCGAAAAAGCTTTCTTTCAAAGTATTGAAACCGTGGGTATCCCTTACAAAAACGTCTTTTTCAGCGTGTTTTTGGGGGGATTTCTTTTAGCTGGTTTCCGAGGAACACCGTACCCCCCTCGCCACCGTAATCCGGCCACACGTGTGCGCCCCAAATTGGAGCCGCGCGTTGATTGATAGACTCGCAAAGTTTTTCCACTCGCCCAGTAGCAGCGGGGGTGTTCCCCCCACAGATCGTAATCGAGCTATAGGGGGAATGGAAGCAGTGTGTTCCTTTGTGGGGAGCACGAAGAAGAGGAGGAGGAGGGAGGACCTCTACCGGGGCCATTCCCTTCGAAGAATTTATGGGCGACACGGCAAGGCCTCCGGGCGGAGAGAGAGAGAGAGAGAGAGAGAGAGAGAAAAGAGAGAAATGTACAGACAGACACACAGACAACCCCCATCCAAACATTCAGCTCCTGCTGATCGAAATGAAAAGCGGGGAGAAGCCGAAAAATTCAAACCCAGCCAAATCATCTCTTTTCCAGGGCATGGACACCTCGAAGAACCACAAGCTCGTGCTCAAGCTGATCATGTTCTGCGTGTTCTACCTGCTGCTCGTCGGCGCGACGCTCGTCTGCGACTATCTGCACTTTGTCGACATGCACACCCTCAACACGGCCACGTTGCACTGCAAGCAGTACGTTTTTTGGGCTATTTTCAGCGCGTTCCTTGTGGAAAGCGGCATGGCGAAAAATCTCAAATGAATTTCTACCCCGCCAGCACGAGCTCACTTTTGTTTTGCAAGAATACCTTCTTCTTTTAGGTTCGGCGGAGTTGAATCGGGGAGTTGCAGACAACCACCAAGACTACAGGTAGGAAAAAAGGCAGATTAGTCGAGCAATACGTATAAATATAAAAGTAATTATAAGAATTCCAGGCTTCTCGCTATATCCTCTCCCTGATCATGAGCCTCCTTGGCGGTGCCGCGTGTTCCCTCTGGATTTTATCGCCCAAGACGTTTGCCAGCTGGCAGCGGTAGGTGAAACGCAAAATTAGAATTATTCGTTTTGTCACTCAGTCTTCGCTATCGAGCAAAATCTTAAAAAGCAAAACTAAAAAAAAGCATTGATGACGTTTAGCGCGATTTTCTGTGGCATGTGTTCGCCAGCCCCGCAGAAAACGGCATCAGCCAGCCGACTGGCCTCTTCTTCTCGCCCACTACTCGAGCCACCAATTCCGGTCAGTAATCGCTTCACCTATCTTTACCGGACGGGATCACGACAAGCCTCGTAAACCCTAAATTTCGCCCTCAACTTGACGTGATCCTCCCGCCATGCTTTTCTGTCATTCCGCTTTCCGCTTGCCAACAACGAACGCTTTCAGTTGCAGGTGGCGCCTCCGCCACACCCGCCCACCCACTACGCCCCGCTCCACTCGACGCATTCGACGCACGTATGGAGACCCAGCAACGTCGTATAGACGATGAAACCAATCCCCTACCCCCCGCCTACCTCTTCTACTGTTCCCAAATCCCACTTCAATGAGACCTTTGTGATCCAGATACCCCGAAAAACAGCCGAAACTTTTGTTACAAAAACCGCCACGCAACCGGTTCAGCCTCCAGAAATCTCAGGCGAAGAAGCTTTATGTGTTTTGAGACAAATTCCAACAATTTCCCCACCTTTTTAATCTCGCGAACGGGTCGACGATTCTGCGTCATTTGCCATATTTATTTGTTTTCTGAATTTGATAAATTATCTATGTACGCGTCTATCCTATTTGCAAACGTGGCAGTCAAACAATACTATCAAAGCCTCGATTTGTTTCCAAATTTCATAAAAGGAACTCGTATTTAAACCCCTAGAAAATAGGCTTTCTCCTGTAAAATAACTCCCTTTTCACCGTCATTTCGAACGCGTGAAATACACACAGGCGCGAAAGGGCGTTAACTACGAATGACTTCCATATATATAAGCCGTTAATAAAGTAGCAGCCAAACACCAATCAACACCTCAGCCCCATCAACCGTCAATCCGGCATTCAAAAAGTCGTTTGGACCGGCGAGGGCTGAGAGAGGAGTAGGAGAAGATTTGCGAGCTGACTCCTTCCCAACCGCCCCAAAGCCAGCAGTGCCCCGACAGACGGTCGGCCAAGATGAAAGCCCCTGTAAATCGCGATCCGTCGGCGGCTCGGCAAGGCCCCCTCGTTGGCGCACCTTCTGCCTCTCCCTGAAATATGGTCGTTTTTACGGGGAGCCAACACGACATTCTTCTCTGGGAGGATGTCAGAAGCGCCAAAGCAAAAGCGCCAATCACTAAAGCGCGCAGGCAGAAGCGCCAAACGAAAAGCGCCCAATGCCCAAAAGCGCCCAATGCCAAAAAGCGCCCAATGCCCAAAAGCGCCCAATGCCCAAAAGCGCTCTATGGGAATTGGGCCGCCGTTTCGGCGTGTTCCGCCCGGCTCCAATACACGTACGCACCCCGAAGGGATCTTGCTTCCCATTATCACGGGATCGTACTGTTCGTCGTCTTTCCGCTTCAAGTGTTTTGATCAAACTAAACGTTTATCTCATGAAATTTTCGGCGGTGAAAAGCAGGAAAAGTATTGGGAATCACGGAAATCAATCTTTTACTCAATGAGAAGAGATTAATGGGCCAAGGAAAGGCTGTGGAGGAGAAATCGAAAATGCTGCTCAATTTTAACATGTCAATCTCACCAATTGCGATGGGAAATGTAATGGGAGAGGGATTGGAGGTGGCGACAGGGTGCTTGATTTTGGGCGCCATTGGTGATGGCCAGCCTACGCTTTTCCATAAAGGATTTGTGCTTGCGAGATTGGGGGAAGCATTGATCGAGGGTAAGATTTTTTGAGTCGGCCAGCCGTTGCTTTTCCTCGTAGCTCTTCACCATACCCAGCAACTCCATCGCGACCCGCTGAGCGGACGCCGGCTTCGGCAATCGCTAAAAATGGAATGGAAAGAGCTCAAAATTGATAGTACCCTCAGGCTTGCGTTGAATCCCTCTATCGTCGAATTTCCCAATTGCCAGTCATGGAAAATCCGGGCATGAAGGCTCCAAGATTCAATGGCGAAAGTGGGGTCGTCTCGGATTCGGGGATCAGTCGGGTCTGGGGTACCCAAGAAATTCTTCTCGTAGTAGGTATAAAGTTCTAAAGCAATTTTGGGAATGGTCTGAATAAATACCTATTAAAGACGCATGGTATTTCGGAGGAACACGGCAAAACGCTTCAGCACGTAGCTCCTCAAAGTAACGAATCACATCAGCTGGCAGGATGAACGCTAGTAGCAGAAGCCCGTGAACGTAGAGCTTGAGGGTCGGGCGCTTCAGCAGGTCGGTCAGGTCATACTTCTAGATATGGTGCTCTTATTTAGTGATCACAAAAAGACGAACCTTAATCTTGGTGATCATCAATTGGAAGAAATGAAAACCACAGTACATATACAAGGTGGCCGGGCCGCCGAAGCCCTCTTCGTATCCGCGCTTCAATCCTTTTTCCATGTCTAATTCGAGGATCAGGATGGTAAAAAATGCTTACCAGACACCAAGAAATCGGGCGCTCTGAACCCCATATATTGCGATAGATGATCAAAGACCCTTCGATAGCTCCTGGTCTCTTTACTTGTCAGAAAGGCGAACGCCGCGGGCACAAAAAGATGAAATTTCTAAAAAAAACAATAATGCCGTTTATCAAACCGATACCTGGACCCCGATGATGAGCACCTGCTGAAAATCGTCTGGGGCACACGCAAAGGTCCCGTCGACGCTCCATGTCTCTTCCTAATATTAACCATTGCTTATCGATAAAAGTAGACCTACGGTTTGCAATAACTCGCGTCCCCTGTCCGTGAAGAATAGCTTAAAGCCCTCCGGATCTGGCGCCGCAAACTGATTACAGTTATCGTGGCGAAGGAAGGTCTGGTCTGAAACAGAAAGAAAGATCGGTGACGGTTGAAAAAAGATTCGTACCAAAAAGATTGACATCTATGTCCGCCGGCCATTTTCTCATTCCGGGAACCTCCACTTGGCGTCGCAGCGCTCTGGACGTGGCCTTCGGGTCCAGATGGCCTTTCAGGTGTGCCGGGGCTTTGAGGATCCTTTGGTTCAAGATCCACTTTGGTGCTAGCCCATTGAGCCGATCGTTTTTCGCCTCCTTTCGGACCATTCTTATCTGAAGAACCTACAAATTAGCCGAGTTAATTACCTCAGCTTGATGGCTGGCTGGCGGGTGGTTGTGACTGCTCCCTTCTACTTCAAGCACAGCGCCGTCATTGTTTAAATTTTTACCCCGGCCGCGGCACCTCTTCATTGGACATCTAAACAAAAATATTGCGGTTTAATCACCGAACCCACCTATAAAAGGTGTCTCCTGCAAGGTTGGTCCTGGAAATGCGGTACTCAAAGCCGGCCGAATCGTAGTATCGCGGCAGACCTTTTTGCGACCGCACGGTATTCGAAACACGTCTAAATTTGATTTGAGAAAACGATATTCGCCAACCTGACTGGCCCTGCCGGAGTTAATTGCGACATTTGAAGTCGCTGGAACTCCAGGGGTTCGAAGCTGCGGGCCTGAAATGGCTAAATGTATGAAAAGCAAAGTTAAATTAGATATAGAAATCGAACAGCAACAAATACTATCATTATACGATTATATAATAATAACATACGGGATCGGCCTTTTTCAAAGAGCGATCCCGTGATAATGGGAAGCAAGATCCCTTCGGGGTGCGTACGTGTATTGGAGCCGGGCGGAACACGCCGAAACGGCGGCCCAATTCCCATAGAGCGCTTTTGGGCATTGGGCGCTTTTGGGCATTGGGCGCTTTTTGGCATTGGGCGCTTTTGGGCATTGGGCGCTTTTCGTTTGGCGCTTCTGCCTGCGCGCTTTAGTGATTGGCGCTTTTGCTTTGGCGCTTCTGACATCCTCCCTCTTCTCTCATCGACACCCGGCTGCGATTGTTGTGTTGCCCCATCCGATTAACTCGCTCAAGGCCGAAATTGGAAGGTTGGACGAAGATTGGGGGATTGAGAGCTGATGCCAAATTTGGCCAAACTGATGGAATGGAAAGCTTGTAAAACCGCTACGCGCCGACAAACAGCTTGGCTAGAGAAATGTGTAAATTTGAGAATTTATAAGTGGAAGGTGAAATAAAGAGGCAAATTGCAAGGTAAAGCCGAAAAAAAAGTTCCGAAACACTACTATTCACGTCATCGTCTACAGGAACCCGCTGCGGGAGTTCTTTGACTTTTCTACCTTTCGCGTGTGTGTGATTTCGACATTTTTGTTTCTGACCCAAATTTTTGAAAATATAAAATTTACTCGCCTCAAAAACGACCCTTGTGGGATTGCATGACGCGTTTACAAGCATTCGTTTTTCGGTTGTGTCGAGTTTTGTGGTGTGACACGGCTCATCCGATAGAGCTACAAATTCTGAAAAACTCCGATCTTGAAAAAACGCTGCGCGATAAGGTTCTGCGAGCAGAAGTCTCAAAGATTAGATTTTTAAGGGGTAAAAATCGCAAAATCGGCCCTTTCGAAGCAAACTTCGTAAAAGTCAAAAGCGCCTAAAAGACTTGATTATCCAGATAGTCATTTACGGGATTGGACCTTCTTATTTGAGCTTTTCTTAAAATCTTTTGCACGAAGTGGCCATGGTTCTTTTGAACGCGAATTGTCGTCTCATTGGTGTTTTCCTATATTTTCTTTCGTTGCGCCTTTTGACAACGATTTAGTTGGGCTACTCAATCAATGCCTCTGACGAGAAGTGCGATGCGCAAGACCCAAGAAGCGGTTGAGCCGCCGACCGCCATGCCGACCGAGCCATACGTTGACAAGACCGAATCACCCCTCGATCGTCACCTGCCTGCGATCGAAGATGAGTCTAGCCAGGATACCGAGGTATATTCAGCTATGTGGATCGGTTAATATCTGATGATATAGGTCGGTGATACCTACAAGCCGCCAATCGACACCGAGGGTTCTGTGAGCACGATTGTGGATGGGCGTACGGACAGCACTCAAAGCCTCACGGGCTCGAAGGACGATCTGGAAGAGAAGATTCGAGCAGTCAAGAAGCCGCGCCGAAACAAGAACAAGCATCAGGTGCAGCTGGAGGTCGATGAGGTCAACGTACCCTCTGCTGCCGAGATTGTGCAAAAGGTCCGCGAGATGAATCGCGCGTCGCCAAAGCTCAAGCGTGGACGCCACTTTGCTTTTCGGGTAAGCTTTGTTTCACTTTCGCAACGTTTTTTCAGGGCTACACTACACCGCTGGAACGTGCCCATGATGCTCTTCTGATGCGCTTCAATCTACGCGAGCTGCAGGACTTCGTCGACAATTGTGAAGGGCGCCCAATCACCCGCAGGCATCAGCCCCCGTAAGCTTTTCATTTTCGTACTCTATTCTCTCTTAGTATCTCTGTGCGCCACGGGAAGATTGATGGGCATGCTCGTCGTCAGAACCTGACGGTCGCCGCACGCGAGAGTATTTTGTCTTGGTCGTTATTGAACTGAACGATCTTTTAGAATTCGGCTCGTTCGATCAAACGCGTCCGTCCTACCCCTTCAGCGTCATCCAGATCGGCAGTTACCAGAGTTACCATGCAATCGACGAGCCCACCCACAAGGAACAAGAAAATCGACCCAATTCAATCACGTTGAGCCCGCAAACGGTGCAATTTTGGACGGTTTTTCACAAGTTCTGTTTAGCGCCGCATGATCTACGAGTTCTCGTCATACGATGCTAACCGCACCCTTTGCTACTTTGTCTGGGTGGTGTCCTTGGAGAATATCGTGGCTCTGCACTTCACACACGATCTGCTTTATGTCCGAGTAAGTTGTTTATGGCTTCCACACCCTCACGCTTTTAGCTGAAGGAGCCGGCAACTCAGGCTACGGCCTTTCATGGTCCGGTTTCGACGCCCGGTCTCGATGTGACCAATGGTGAACGCGACGCTTCAGTGCTCCACTACTTCCGACTGCTGTATCTTTCAAAACATTCCATCAAGATTTTTCTTTAGACACGATACCACGCCAATGAAAGAGTGGTTCCTCAACTTCGACCGCGCCTTCTTCGAACCTCGAATGCTCGGCTACATGGACTTCTTCCAGGTTGATATCCCCTGATTTTCACTTCCGTCTTCAGGCACTTTACGGTAAACTTGACCCGACGGCGTTTGTGACGGCTGCCAACCAACCAGCCTACCAGGACATCAATATGCAAGTCACCGGCCGAGCCAATCAGTATTTTTTTCTCGTACTTTGGCGACTTTTAATTTAGGTACCACTATCATCCACCACAGCCGATGGAGACCGAGGACTTTGTAAGACTTTCTTTCCGGGATTTAGTATCTTTTAGAACAATGCTGTAATCATGCAAGAGCAAGAAGCACTCTGTGATATCAAGGCCACCCCCGGGACGCAGACTGGCCTCGTCGATTTTGGTCCGGTGAACAATATGACTGGATATGCGGTATTTATTTGATCATCCCCTATATAAGAATGTTTAGGACGCCGACATGTTCTTCGTCCTTCCGGCCCAAGCCAGCGGCGACTCTTCGATGCAACCATCCGCCTCCAAGAAGCAACTAATCCCTTAGTGAGATCCGCCCCTGCTCACCTATTAATTTAACCACTGTGTTTGAGACTAGAAAATCGGTTTTTAATGTACTACTGTTAATCATTATTTCTGTGCATTGTACTGTGTGATGTTCCCGTTCTTGCAAAGAATATTATGCCCTCGATAAACGAGTTTTGTTTCAGGCTTGCTCAAGCATTTATTCCGGAGGCCGTTCGATTTATGCGAAACGCAAAGGAGAAAGATTGGGGTCCATGAGAATCACCGGGTCGCGTTATGGGGGGATAACCCGCGTCGATGGGTTGACTGAGGGTGTCCGAGAGTACTTTTACAAGGGTTAACTATCATTCTGGATCACAATTTTGATGTCAATAGGCTGCTAATGGCATGGCTGGCTGAGGTAGTTTTGGCAAATTATGTACATCTACAGGAAAAGCAACATGTCTACAAATTGTTGGGGAGTGACCCGCACTGAGGGAGCGTTCTGCGATACGCAGGGATGGCCAAGCGATCGCCAGAAAAGGCAGCGGCAATGGCAGCATAAGTGAATCATGTCGGCGTAGAACTAAAAGCTGGCCATACTTTTTTGAGCGAGTGTAACTGACCTCTTTGACACCGTGGTGGCGCTTTAGGTAGAAGTACGCCTCTCGCCACGTCCGCCCGGATTTCTCCTTGTCGATGTGGTGTGGGGCGAAATGGAAACGGGCTAATGACTCCCAAAGTCGTCCCTCCGACTCGACCAATGACTATAAAAGTATGTTTTGGTTGAATTACACTCGTTTCAGGAACGGTTAGGTTGCTTTAGTTCTGTCAGTATACCTCAAGGGCTTCATGGGCCTTTGCTGTCTCAAGCACCGAAGTGTGGTCGGGCAGCTTCCGTAGGACGAGGGACAATACCTGTATTTTTGGATGAATGGCATGTTCTGTATCAAACTGACCTCTCGCGGCAAATCCAAAAAGGTTATGGTAGTCTCATCAGAGTCGGCCGGGGTCCGAGGGCACTAAAACGGGGATTTTAGAGGAGGATCTTGGCTTGCTCAGCTCGATGAAGGCTCGGCCCTGGGCTTGAAACCAACCCTCACCTGATTTGAGACAAAGTCCAACAATCCGGTGGCTGATTGTCGATGTTTCGAGACAAGCGAAGGGCTACCGCAAACGTGATGCATGCAAACCGTCCCCTCAAGCTGGCTGCCGAAATTAGACACTAACTCCCGGGCCGTCTCTTGATGAAAATCATTCTAAAGTTGTCACCGTTATACGATCATTTTCCCAGGCACTTACATCCACTGCGCGCAACACGATCGCCGTCAGGATTTGGAGCAGCGTCTTGCGGGCCGTCGCCGAGAGGTTTTGCAACTTTTCGTCGATCAGAATTTGGCAAGTCTAGACGCTGTTGGATTGCTAGTTTGATTTTCTTTACCTTGGTGATGTAGGCGAATCTTTTCAGGTCATAGACGCCTCGTGCCATGTCCAGATTGTGGAAGGCGTCGCTCATTGAGGTCACGCCGACAAATTCCTTGGTTTTGCTCTTGATGTGGCAATGCGGGACCCAGCATTCATCGAGCTCGCTGGCACCTGGAATTGGTTTGGTTTCCTGATTGGTATATGGTTTAGGCATTTTAAGGTGCTGGTTCGTTAGGGGGGGGGGAGGGGAAGGGGGTGGCAAGGTGGGAGAGCAAAAAACTCCTTTTTTTTCAGCATAACGCCCGTAGTAATACAATATAAACCAATTTATCTCGTTTTGAGTAGTTTATGAGCGCTAGATATTTTGAAAAACAAATATGTTATTCATTTTCATCCGTTTTTGACTAAGTCAAAAATTTTGCAAATCTCGAAAAACTTTTATCTCTAACAAGCGAAAAATGCTCTGCCTATAGTGGGTATAGGTACTATTCACTTACTATTATAATATAGTATAGTAAATCGCTAAGAAGTAAATTAAAATTCGTGTATATTGAATTATGGGACGCCTAGGGGTAACAGTGGAAAAGTTAGTTTTCCCCTGGTATTCCTAATCCCGCCCCCCGCTAATGAACCAGAACCCATTTTAATATAGCCGGCCAAATCGTCGATCCCGGCTTCCGGTTGACCCCCGAATGCCATTAACCGGTTATGCCGGTGCCCTAATAGCCTCTACCACCCCCATATTTGCAAATCCCCCATCCACTCGATGAATGCCCGCGCGCACATAAACCAGCGTCATGCATGCGAATTTTACCCGGGCACAAAAGGCGAAATAATTTCCGGCGCTGACTCCCAGCCCCGTGCAATCCCTCATCTTTCCCTCCGACACCAACAAAATGCAGCCATGTCACCACGGTGAATCGCATTTCTCGGCGGCGCGCGAAAAAGATGAAATTTCTCCACGCGTGCGCACAACAGGCTTCCTTCCCCCTTCTATTGAATAAAGGGCCACACGCCCGGACCCTGCCCGAATCGCATCAAAATAGCCGCCACCAGATGGGCGTTTTTGTCGGGGTTTTGTGGAGAGGAATTTCGAATTTTCCATTTTTTCAACTTTCAAGGGCTTTACGCAGATTTGGTCGGCGTTCCTGGCCCGACTCTTCAGTGGGAATTCGAAGGGCACTTGAGATTTTGGAGGGCTAATCGGATTGTGGCATGTGGGGTGGAAAGAAGAAAACACATACCCTCATCGGAGAGGGAATCCCGCGAGTTGCTCGAGCTCGATGTGGTCGAGTCGACGCTTTGGAGTGAGGCGGAGGATGGGGTATGGCAAAGTTCATCAAGTCCCCCTACGCTTCCGGGCACCGGGATCGCTTCGCAGGCTATCTGAAAATGCTGTTTAATTCTAATTAATGTACTGGTTAAAGTATTGTAAAGTGGTTATTCCTGATTTTTGTAGAGTAGTTTGGTTTCCCAGAATATTTTAGATTTTAGAAACCTTACGAGGTCCTTCGATAAGTTTTTTACTCATTTTCGGTACTGCACTTTTAGCGGGGGGATATCCGAATTTTCAAAAATTTTCAAAAATCGTTAATATTTTTTTCCAGGAGTTTTCCCCGGTATCAATTTGCAAACCCCAGGTAACTCCGTGCGGGAAACCGGGTCGAAATCTCTACGATCAGCTGGCTGCCTGCCTGACACGGGTTTCACTTTCGCCGAGAGCACATATTTGGCATGTCGCCCATTCCGAGGTCGTCGTTGCGCCCCCCCCCTTTTTTTTTGTAGCGTGAAAACGATTCGGCGGAGAAGATGGTACTAGTGAGGGGCTGTTTGCGGGTGGGTCCTCCCCCCAGATTCTTCGCGCGATTCGAGTCCCGCGGGCTGGGGCCCAAGGAAAAACAAAGTGCTCGACATGGGTGGATGGAAAGGCCAGGCCAGGCACTGATAACAAAGGCTTGTGACCCACAGATGTTGGTGAAGACGTGAATTTTGTAACATTATTTTTTGTAGTCGTAAGTTTGTAGTTTGTAGTAAGGCTTGGCTCTTTGGTATTTGCGACGGGGAGGGCGCAATTTGTTCTAAAATAAGAAAGAAAGTGTTTATAGCCTTTTTTCAATATTTCTAACGTAAAAATTGTAAAAATTTTGATGATAAATTAAAAAAACTCGTATTTCGGCTAAAGTTAATTTTAACCAAAATTTCGAGGGTGCAAACACTTTACTAAGTTTTCCGAATTGATTGAACACTTGAAATATAGTTAATTCTTGCTTTAAACTTTTAGTAGACTTTTTAGTAAAAAGATGCAAAAAACTGTTGTCACTTTACTATACATAACTGGACTTTTACGAAAAATATAGAACTTTTAAAAATAATTCGATTCCCCCTGAAAGCTACCCCTTAATTTTGTAATCCCTTTTTTAGCCAAAATTGGGCATCAACTTTTGCGAACAGCGCTAAAAAACGGGCCCTTATCTTTCGGGGGTAGCCCACCGGGTTTTGCGGGCCACACGGTTGTAGAGAGAGAGTGGGGCCAAGGGTGAGAGGGCCCAGACAGCGTGATGGTCAGGGATCAGCTGATTCGTCGCTTCTCATTTAAAGTCACCAAAACAGCCCTTATGACCCGGTGGGCCATAAGGGCCGCACTTTGGCCCTCGATGGGGCAGTTGGTGGCCCTGTGACCAAAGGTAAGGGGCAGGGAATTCGTAATGATAGTAAGGTGTGTGGCGTTGTTGTTGTTTGGAAAGGACAAGGACTTTGGGAATTTTTGGGGGAACGGGAGGTTTTGAGAGGTGGAAAACTTAACGGAGCAAGGTTTTAGAGTGAAAAGTTAACATTTTTACAGTTTTAGGAAATTTTAGCGAAATTTAGTACGTTAGTTTTACAAAGTTCAGACAATTGAGGAAAGGGAAGGACTTGGGAATCGAAAAAGCGACGTTTTTATAGGTGGAAAAGTTTAATCAACTATAATAAAAAAGTAGAGACGTCCGTCTGTCTGTCTGTCTGTGTGTCTGAAGCCGAATTCAACTCGAAGGGGAAAGGGGCTAGAGCTTAGCTCTCTTCGGATTCGGATAGAGCGCCCTCAGAAACCCCCAAACTGATAAAAAAATTATGAAAAAGTTTTAATTTAAATTATTAAAAATAACTTTGAAAGTGGTGCCTTAATAAAACGAGTGGGGGCCCCTTTCCCGGGAGGCCACGCTCCTCCCCAGGCCCCTTCGCGCGCCCTGATCGCTTTTTAAGTTTACTTTAATACTTTTTAATACTTTTAATTATGTTAATTCATTATTTAAATAATTTAAAGTATCTAAAGCCATCGGGAAGGTATTTAGGTAGTTTTTGAAGGGGATTTCAGCCATGGGGGGTATCTGAAGCCATCAGGAAGGTATTTAGGTAGTTTTTGAAGGGGATTTCAGCCATGGGGGGTATCTGAAGCCATCAGGAAGGTATTTTGGTAGTTTTTGAAGGGGAGTTCGGCTATGGGGGTGTCTGAAGCCCTCAGGAAGGTATCGAAGTAGTGTTTGAAAGGGATTTCGGCTATGAGGGTTTTCTGAAACCATCAGTATATGTATTGATGAAAGTAGCAAGGGATGTGGTGATGTCGAATATGAAGTGTAGCCCGAAGGCCAGTCGATTACAGACGCGAAGCGGCTGTAATCGGCTGGTTTGGCTATAGAACAAGCCTTTTCGAATGACAATTAAACTTTTTGAAATGTCTCAAACTTTTCAAAGCAATTTTTTAACTTTTACCAAGCTTAAATGGTTATACAAAACAAAAAAACAAAATATACAAAACAAAAAAAACAAGGACTTTGGGAATTTTTGGGGGAACGGGAGGTTTTGAGAGGTGGAAAACTTAACGGAGCAAGGTTTTAGAGTGAAAAGTTAACATTTTTACAGTTTTAGGAAATTTTAGCGAAATTTAGTACGTTAGTTTTACAAAGTTCAGAAAATTAAGGAAAGGGAAGGACTTGGGAATCGAAAAAGCGACGTTTTGATAGGTGGAAAAGTCTAATTTCGCTTTAAATCAAGCCTTTTCGAATGACAATTAAACTTTTTGAAACGTCTAAAACTTTTCAAAGCAAATTTTTAACTTTTACTAAGCTTAAATGGTTATACAAAACCGTTAAACCAAAAAACTCATTTCCCAGAGGTGACCAACCTGCAACGGGCGCAATCGGCTTCGTTCCCAGCCGTTCGTCTGCGGGGTGCGGATCCACGTCTCGCCGGGGGCCCGCCAGTCTCGGCCGATGAAAACCATTTTTGTTTTCTATTTTTTCTGGAAATAATAAATTAACCTTTTTAGTAACTCTGTTTAGAGATATAGGGAATCTATGGAAAAAGGAGCACAAAAATAGAGCAAGCGGAAGAAAAAGAGGATAACAACAGAGAAACGACAAATAAGCAACCGAAGCTTCAGTGAGTTACGAAAAGGTAAAAAGACGCCGGCTTGGCTTAAACATAGGCTTAGATAGACTTAACAAGCTGTGATACCTCCAAACTTCGCGGTTAGGAAGCTCCTAATCTTGGGGGAAAAGCTTCGATCCAAGAAGCGGAAGCACAATTCTCAAAAGTCGTCCTCCCCTCGGAGTATGGAGAAGCAAAAGTGCTGCCCCGGGGAGTACTCCTCGCCTTTCTTTTCCCCGGACAGAACAGCTGATCGGCCGTCTGTGTCAGTCTGTCTGTCTCGACTGTTTGTCTCTCTGTCCGTTCCCACGAGACCCCGCCCCTCGAACCTTCTCGCCACCCTTTCTCTCCGCCCTTTTCGGGAGAAGCCCAACTGGACCAGGTCAAATGATCCCCCCCCCCTGGCCGGGTCACTTGGTCATCTACTTCCTCTCTGTTGTCTGTTGAGTACGTACGGGGCCAAATGACGGGTAGACCACCTGGGGGCCCAGATCAACCGTTTCGAGAGTTGTTTTCCCGACCCTAGGGGGGCTGTACTTTTGATAAGCGTGTTTGGTTTGGGCGGTCCGGAAAATAGGCTGGACCTGGTGGGCTTGAGGAATGTATTACGGAGAGAGAGAGAGAGAGAGAGAGAGAGAGAGAGAGAGAAAGCGAGAGAGAATTGATAATTAAACTTATACTTGAGTTAAGCTTACATAGGCTTCGTTTTAGGCTTGAAGTTGGGCGTGGCTTAGGTTTTGCCATGTGCTTAAGTTGAGTAGAGACAAGCTAGGCTTGGCTTATTTAGGCTTCGTTTTAGGCTTGAGCTGTGTTAGGCTTGACTTAGGCTTGGGTTGGGCTTGGCTTAGGATTAGGATAAGGCTGAGGCTTGGCTTAGATTTTACTTCGGCTTGGCTTTAGCTTTGCATTTTATACCTATCAGGCTGTCCGGAAAGTCCTTGCGGTTTTTCCTTTCGGGGATTTTTTTGAAAGCCCTGTTGATCTAGGATCTTGACGTAATATACCATTGTGAAGTACTTTTGATGCTCTACACACTGGCAAAGCTAATCTTGTCTGCAAACATTTTGATGATTTTTAACAGGGCTCGAAAGTCGGGACCAAAATTAACCGATTTTCTGTTTTTGTTAAAAACTGCCTCCGAAAAGCGGCTTTCAAGCTTTTTGAAGCTGGTAATCGGCTGGGCTCTTCAAGCGCTACATAACGTATCGCAAAAATTTTGTTTGAAAAATTACGCTGGGGAGATACAACTTGTCAAAATTTGGTCGGCGGATGGGGTTTTTGGTCGACTAAAGAAGCATGTCACTCAAATAAATCATCAAACGATCTTAGAAGTGGCCAAATAGCATTACTATAACGTGAAACTTGAACTAAAGCTCTTTTTGGCTCATCCGGAGGGGACAAAACTATGTATTAGTACATTTGAGATAGTCAGCATTTCGAGGCAGACCAAATTTTGACAAGTTGTATCTCCCCAGAGTAATTTTTCAAACAAAACTTTAGCAATACGTTCTGTAGCGCTTGAAGAGCCCAGCCGATTACCAGCTTCAAAAAGCTCGAAAGCCGCTTTTCGGAGGCAGTTTTTAACAAAAACAGAAAATCGGTTAATTTTGGTCCCGACTTTCGAGCCTTGTTAAAAATCATCAAAATGTTTGCAGACAAGATTAGCTTTGCCAGTGTGTACAGGGTGTATCAAAAAAAAGTTCCGAAGTTTGTCCCCAATTATCTCGAGAAGGAAAAATATTTCACCGTGCGTTACCATGCCAGAATGCTTAAATATGCTGGGTATGAAGATTTAACACAACTTGATTTTTTCGATTTTTGAGTACGCAACTGTACTATTGACGCTGATTACGACCAGAAATTGTGCGTTCTTGAACGGGTGGTGGGAAAATTTTGATTTTTGGCCTAAAAATTGCTGACACTTGTAGAAAGCTAATGGCCAAGTCTTATAATTTTTCAAGCTCTACTTCTTTTTTAACAAGAAAAACAAATTTCACTGTTTTGCCTATTTTTACTTTTTAATTCGCAACTCGCTTCAAATACGCTGCCCATGGCTGATCTTTTGCAGATGGTGTCTCCGAATGATAATCTTTAGCACAACACCAAATTTTACCGGATTCTATGGTATTTTAATATTGCTTGCTAAAACGTGCCCCAGAGGGATACTGTAGTTTTTGTTTTTCGGGTTTTTCTTTTTATTGTCAGCTGCGATTTTGCTTAAAATTTTATCATTGGTAAACACCAGTAAGGGGCACCTATTGGCCAAAGATCGTGGAGTTTTAGCCATTCACCTTCCCAAAATATGCAAAAAATTTATTTTTGAATTTAGCCACGGAAATGTCTAAATATTTTGATGCATCGGACCAAAAACTACTATTATTTGTTTTCCCGCAAGATCGAAACGTTTCTATGGTGAAAAGAGCGAGAAAACGGCGATTTTCTGTTTTCTACAGTAACCCGCCTGGAGCGCATTTTAGCATGTCAAGACAAAATGCCATAATATGCCGATTTCTGTCTTCTAGAATGTTCTCTGAGTAATTATAAGGAAGCAGGCGAAAAATTACTTACTTTCTGTGGTAAATGACAAAGTTATAAGGAAAAGTGGAAAACCCTCTTCGCGGCCCGATTTGGACCCGCGGGCCCGGGCCGAAAATCGAATTTTTCAAAATGAAAAAAAGCACCGATGTTTGGTGGATACAATTAAAGTAAGTATTGAACTGTGCATGAGAGCAAAATTCTGGAACGATCTGGCTGAAGTTAATGGTTAATTTTGATTTAAAACCCGAAATTAACGTTTTTGAAAAGTCGACTTTCGGGAGCTCTTCTAAATTCGTTTGCCATGAAAAGATTTTGTATTTGCATAGGTTCTAGTTGACTACCCAAGCTGAGTTTATGCCAGAAAAATCGGGGCAACTAAACCCTCGAGAATTTTTTTACGTCGCCTCAAAGTCGGGTATATTTTGACTCTTCATGAATTTATCTTGAAAGATCGGATGGCCCAATAAATTTGTAAATATAATCTTAGAATGCGCCAGTTAAGAAGTATCAAATAAAATTATGACAATAATTCTAGCTGCGCAAATGAATTTTGTAGACTGGCACCAAGGTCTGCGAAATAGCAAGAACCAACCGTTTTGGAGGCGCTAAAAAGCATCCTTCCAAAGGGGTAAGGTAGCTAGAAATTTTTTTCATGATAGATGATCGCTAGTCCTACACAACTAAGCAAAGCAAACACCGAAATTCTATCTGCAATTTTAGAAATATTTTTCCAAAGTTCGGTTTCGGGACCTCGAAAAATCCATGACCAGGGGGTCGTCGAAAAACTCAAAAATCCGCGGATCTGAAAATTTTTTTTGAAGTGTTTGTGCGATTGTACAAAGTTTGTGGGTATGCCAGAACAACCTATTTTGAGGTTCCCGCCATAAGTTTTTTTAATATTCGATATTTACGAAATTTCTCCATACTAAATTTGAGCGCGCTATAACTTGCCAACTAGACCTTCGAAAATTCCAAAATTTCGGATGTGCGTAGGGGCAGTTCTTATGTATCCACACTGTGAAAACTGAAACCGCTCGACCACCAGCAATTCACAAAAATGCAAACGAAGTTTTGCCGGAACGCACAGTTTTCGGGTGTCATTTGTATTGATACGTCCACAAAAATCGAAAAAATCAAGTTGTGTTAAATCTTCATACCCAGCATATTTAAGCATTCTGGCATGGTAACGCACGGTGAAATATTTTTCCTTCTCGAGAGAATTGGGGACAAACTTCGGAACTTTTTTTTGATACACCCTGTAGAGCATCAAAAGTACTTCACAATGGTATATTACGTCAAGATCCTAGATCAACAGGGCTTTCAAAAAAATCCCCGAAAGGAAAAACCGCAAGGACTTTCCGGACAGCCTGATACCTAAAGCATCAAACTACGCGCCACAACAACGACACCTAGGTGAAGACTGGAACGGACGGGCTCGATAGGATGCGGGAAGCAATTATTTCTGGCGCCTGGATAATTCCCGACCGCCCCTCCCATCCATCCCTTCAGTTCCTCTCTCTCTCTCTCTCTCTCTCTCTCTCTCTCTCTCTCTCTGCATTGTTCTGCAGCCATGGAATGAGATTAAAGGGACAGGCAAGGCATACATACGCATTTTCTCGGCCGCCGCAAGCGGATCCTATTCCATTACGCTACGTACGAGCGGGCGCGTTGCGTATCGCGGTGGAACAAAATTTATAGGAAACTACTGCCGAAGAATCGATAGTATTTCCTTGCCGGTCCCTTCAACGGGTCGAGATTCAGAATTTAGCGAAGCTCAGAAAAACGCCGTTTTGTAGATTCAAAACCAATTTAATAGGCTTATAGATTTAAATCAGGTGAAAATGAGGGGTAGTTAAGGCAATATAGAAGGAAAACAAGCGTTGTTTGCTCAATATCCGGCTCAACAGTCATTTTTTTTGGTGATTTTAAGCCAAATTCTCCATTTGGGCCGTTGGATGCGGACCGGACTGGCCTTCTGCTTATCCGGTTCTGGATTCCCGGTCGGTTTCCACCGAATTCACGTTAGCGCTGACTACCAGAACGGCGAGATTTGAATGGGATAAAAGGTAGCCAATTCTATGCATAAAAAGTCAATACTATCCTCTTTCTGCCAGCACCGATACTTAGAACCCTGGGAATGCGGCCTTGGAAATGAAGCCGGGGCGGCGAAACAAAAAACGGAAAGGGATTGGCAGTGGCGAGGACAAAGACCGTCATTTGCATGGGGGCGGAGTGGAAGGAGGGCTGTGCGCGAAATAGGGGAAACAGACGCCCGGGTGGGGTAGCTAGATTCCCAGTAGTATTGATACTTTTGAGGCTATTTTTTGGGAGGAAACGATTTAAAAAAAGCGAGTTTCTTTAAAAAATTGTCAAGGAATCAGAGAGTAAAATAAAAAATACAAAAATAAAAGTATTTATCATACAACGCAAAAAGTCTGGCCGAGAAATTACGGACAAGTTTTGTCTGTTGCCTGAGGCGATATAAGAGATGCCTCACGGCCAGACCGGAAATTACGGCAGGTTGTAAATGGCCAGACGTTCTTAGCCTCGGGCGTTTTAGAGAAGACGAAGATCAGAACAACTGTATTATTAAATTTATAGAAAAAGAGGGTTCTTTCGCATTATCGGGGGGGGGGGGGGGTTAGCAAACTTTCCCCATCACTCCAGAAATGTCCAGCAACATAACAAAAAGTCTTTAATTGGGTTTTAAGCAAAAGCAACTACATTTTAAGGGGAAAGCAATCAAAAACTTCAAAAAAAATTTTAAGGTGAAAAAATCGTATTTGGCCGAAATATCTATACGCTTGTGTTTTTTAATAAAAATTGTAAAGTGTTGACCCCATTTTACTCGATGGTGTTCCGCCAGTAAGCCCCCCCTGATAATGCCAAAGAACCAAAAGGAGATAAACCTATCGTAATAGATTGGAAAGCGAACTAAAAAAGCAAGTTCAACAGATATTGAATTTTCAAGCTATGAGGAGATGAAGAGATAAAGTCTTAGTTATTTGGGATAGTTAAAGTGTTACCGTTTGTCCATTTTTGTATTTAGGGTTCGAGTTCTATCAAAAATATTGATCTAAATAAAAGAAAACAAAGAAAAAAGAAGAAGAAAAACAAAGATAAGGTAGCAGTACCTCTCCAGTAACGACAATCACTGCTAGGAGGTCACGTGGTAAGCCCAGACTTGTCTGCTGATCAAATCCCCGCCTAGAAAAATAAAACAAGAAACTTGTAAAGCGAAAGAAAGTGCAGAAACACACACATGGCATCCCCCCACACAACCAAAAACATTGGCTAACGGAACGCGACGAGCACGACAAACAGAAATATTTTGGGTATCCTCGGTGTCTTGTGTTAGCCACGAACACGCGGGGAGAAGGCTCTGCGCATGGGCCCCACACACCGCTCAGCTGATCTCTCGCTGTCTGGTGTCTCTCGCTGGGCAGCGCGTTGCTGTCTGGCTCTCTTTGCAGCCCCTCTCTCGCTCTTTCTCGCTCTCTCTCTCTCTCTCATCCCCGAGAAAAGCAAATAGCTAGACACCAAAAAGGCAGCCACGAAAGCCGATGGAAAGGAATGGAAAATTAAGGGACTGAGAAGTTGAGCTTCGGATAGATTATAGCCAAAAATGAAGAGGAATAACATCGACAAGTTGACTTCGAATTGGGCCTGAGCTTGACTTATGCTTAAGCCCGGTTTGGGCTTCGACATAGGCTTAGGTTTATAGTTATGCGTAAGCTTGAGCTCCGTCTGGATTTGGGCTTAGGCTTGTGCTCAGGCTTAGTGTTTTAGGCTTAAGCTTGGCTTTGGGTTTAGATTCGGCTCAAGCTTCGACTTAGGCCCAGGCTCCAGCGTAAGCTTGGGCTCAATCGGCTTCCGATTCGGTTAAGTGGCCTAAAAATACATAGAAAAACATAGAAAATAGAAAAATGCGTTTGTGAAAAGTCATCCAGGAATTACATGTCGTAATCCGTTCTGCAGCAATAATTACAGCCCAGAACCGAATCGAAACTTTCCAAAAACCTTGCCTGTATCCCCGACGAGCCTCGGCGGGAGTATCCAAGATAAACAACCACAAATCCCCCCGAGACCTCGACCGGTCTCCCAATTTTGGGCCCAGACATTGATGCCCCCCCAGGGCACACATGCCCTTTTCTCCGGGGGCCCACCAGCTCCCTTTTTTGGGCCCTTCTTTGGTCTTTTAGGGGGAACGAAATCAATGTGAAAGGGTGGTTTCTTTTTTAGGTCTCCACGTGAAGCTGAAAAGATGCTACGGATCTGGCGAAACTTGGCCGCTGACACGGGAAAACGCCAAAAGCACGACAAGCAAAATCCCAACAGCCCTAATCCCGACAGCCTAAATGTGATATTTCCGGTCGTTTTACCCAGCAATGGTTTTAAAATATCGGTTTCTAGCTGCCGGTATTATGGCTGTCGGTATAATGGCCGTCGGTATTATGGCTGTCGGTATTATGGCTTCCACGGTTTTGACTGCCGGAATTTTGGCTGGAATTTCCCCTGCCATGCCAGCTGTCGCCCCGGCCCCCTCTCCTTTCAGATTCCCTCACGAAATTGGCCTCGTGCCGTCTATGGGGCACAAGTGAGAGGGGGGAGAGGGAGAGAGCGAGAGGGAGAGAGCGAGAGAGAGAGAGAGAGAGAGTATTTGCTTTAATTTGCATTGACATTTTCCGGAAATCGAATTTCAATGAATTCAGGAGCGTATAAAAGATAAAATGATACTACCATCAGAATCATTTTATCTTCCGGCCAATGGATGAGCCCCGGCGAAGCGCGATCTACAGCATCCAGCTCGGAGCCGATGGAAAACCGATGACGGGAGGGGCCGACGACCAGCGCAAGAAGGAGCCCGATGTGTTCCCACCGCCGCCGCCGCCAAAGTCTAGCTCCAAGGCCGCGGAGAGCGCAAAGAAGAACAAGCAGAGTCACAAGAAGAAGCAAAGCGCCGCGCACAAGGTGGTGCAATTCTAACGTTTAGCTATTTTTCTCGCGGATAAAAATGGTCTAAGTCTGTTATAAGCGTTCAGGATGCAACGATTTCTTGCAGAATCATCACAAAGTCGCTGGCGGGAATCGCCTCAAAAGTTGCGGGGGCTGCCCGGAACTCGCAGCGCCTGGGCACAAGCTGTGTCACGTGTGTGTCAACCGCAAGAAGTTTGTCTACTAAGTGTATCAAAACCTCCGAAATTAGGAGCCCGGCCAAGCAGACGTGCAATCACTACTGCGGCGTCTACAAAACGTGCCTCATTCTTGGGTAAAGGATGCGTTGTGTCCTTCAAAAACACCCGTTTAGTCCCGATCCCCGCTTGAGCGTGGATGATGGCAAGAAGGTCATTCAGGGCTTAAACGGTAAGTCAAAGCCATTTCCGCCATGACCACCCTTTATTTTCAGCCTTGCGCTGCAACTCGTGTTGGCGCAAAGACATCATCGACGAGGAGCTGGCCAAGTCGAGGAATTGAAGCGCCCAGTGATCTCTCCTCTCTTCGAATATCAGCTCCATCTCTAGTGTCTCCATATCTCTCCGTTCTTTTGTGATTGTTTTTATGAGTGCTTTTACAATGTGTGCATTGTGGCAGAGCTGGTTCCCGTTAATAAACTTTCCACCGAGACCTGTCCCGTCAAACCATTCGCATATTCGATTGGAATAATCAACCGTCGACGCGCAGCAAAATGGAAATGATTCATGTAAACTCTCAGATGCAGGAAATAATTTCACGAGAGAGAGAGAGAGAGAGAGAGAGAGAGAGAGAGAGAGAGAGAGAGAGAGAGAGAGAGAGAGAGAGAGAGAGAGAAGAGAGAGAGGGAGAGGGAGAGGGAGAGAGACACAGAGAGACACAGAGAAAAACACAGAGAGAGACACAGGGAGAGAGAGACAGAGAGAGAGAGAGAGACACAGAGAGTGAGACAGAGAGATAGAGAGAGAGGGAGAGAGATTAGATATTAGATAGAGACGGTATTATGGCTGTCGAAGAGAGAACGAGATATTTTATCTAATTTGCATTTGCAATTTCCTGAAATCGAATTTCAATGGATTCAGGGGGGTATAAAAGCTGGCAAAGGTAGAATGATATTATGATACACATGGCTGAGAGGCGCAGCGAAATATACTCGGTGCAGGTGGGCCCGGATGGAGCCCCGTTGACCGGAGCGCAAAAGTCGCCGCCCCCCTCGATGCCGCTCAAGCACAAGGTGGGACAGTTCAAGAATATTCGTAAAATTTCTTCTAGCCCACCCCGCCGAAGGTTTCCGGTACCGGCAAGAAGGAGAAGCCGAAGACGTCGAACTCCGGGAAGAAGTCGCTAAAGAATGTGGTGAAGAAGCTCAAACAGTGCCTCGCGTGTCCGGAAAACGCAGCCCCGCGCAATACACTTTGCCATCAGTGTATTCACCGGAAAAGGTTTGACTACTGACTGTATCAAAATCTCCGAATAGGTCGACTGGGAAGGTGCTCTGCAACCCGTTTTGCCAGGCCCACGCCGAATACGCCCAAGCGGGGTAATGATGAGTTGAGTCCATCAAAAACACCCGTTTAGCCTTGACCCGCGAGTGTCGACCAAGACGGCCCAGCTGCTTTTGGTGGCCCTGGAGAGTAAGTCAAAGCCATTTCCGCCAAGACCTCCTTTTATTTTCAGAACAGCGCTGCAACGATTGTTTTCGCGTTGGCCTGACGAAGATCACCCAGCACAGCCAGCAGCCGTAGTGCGAGCGATTCAAGAAGCCCTTAGCAAATATGTCATATGAACCTGATTCGTATTCCCACATAATTCATTCATTCGTATAAAGCTCTGATTCTTTACGCTTTCCCGCGAAACCCTCTGCATATTCGATTGGAATAATCAACTGGCTGCGTGCGCGACAAAATGGAAATGAGTCATGTAAACCCTCAGATGCAGAACATAATTGCATGCAAATATAGATAGATAGATAGATAGAGAGAGAGAGACAGAGAGTGAGTGAGTGAGTGAGAGAGAGGGTGAGAGAGATAGATAGAGAGAGAGAGAGAGAGAGAGTGAGAGAGATAGATAAGGAGAGTAAGTTAGAGAAAGTGAGAAAGTGTGAAAGTGTCGGTATTATGGCTGTCGGTATTATGGCTGTCGGTATTATGGCTGTCGGTATTATGGCTGTCGGTATTACGGCTGTCGGTATTATGGCCGTCGGTATTACGGCTATCGGTATTATGGGTGTCGGTTTTATGGTTGTCGGTATTATGGCTGTCGGGATTATTGCTGGAATTCTTCTGCCATGCCAGCGGCCCCCCTCCGGTCCCTTCCCTTTCAGATTCCCTCAAGAAATTTGAGACCGCGAAATTGACCTCGTGCCGTCGATGGGAGCCAAGTAATAATTACCCATTAGTGTAGCATCCGGCACGACCAAATACGCCATCATAGAGAGAGAGAGAGAGAGAGAGAGAGAGAGCGAGAGAGAGAGAGATAGAGAGAGAGGTTAGATATTAGATAGAGACGGTCACGGGCCGTCAGAGCGCGCATGAGCTTTTAAAAGCTATAAAAACGTTCCCAAGGTTTCGCTATATATCAAATTTTCCTACCGAAATGTGTGTAATTTTTTTCTCTATCGATCGTATCGATACGATTTTGGAAATACGGGCAGGGGGAAAAGTTACGATCGAAAAAGACAAAAATCCTTAACATTCTCGATGGCTATATTCGTGACTCTATAAAAAACTCTTCTAGCGGTTGATTGGCTAACTTTTGCGATGGATGCACTGGTGGCAGAGAGGGCGGCCCCGGGCCACACTCTCTGCCACCAGTGCATCCATCGCAAAAGGTTTGACTACTGACTGTATCAAAATCCCCGAATAGGTCCACTGGAAAGGCGTTCTGCAACCCGTTTTGCGAGGCCTACGCGGAATACGCCCAAGCGGGGTAATGATGAGTTGAGTCCTTCAAAAACACCCGTTTAGCCCAGACCCGCGGATGTCGGCAAAGACGGCCGAGTTGATCCAGGTGGCCCTCGTGAGTAAGTCGAAGCCATTTCCGCCATGACCTCCTTTTATTTTCAGAACAGCGCTGCCACAATTGCTTCCGCGACGACCTCGAGAAGGTCACCCAGAAGCACAGCGAGCAGCCATAGGCCGAACACGCCATCCTCCGCCATCACCACTTAAGCCTTGACACAAAATTCGCTGAACCCCATACTTGTGATCGCCCCATTGTAACCCGTTGAATAAAGCTCTTATCATTTTTTACTCTTTCCCGCAAAACCCTTTGCATATTCGATTGGAATAAGCAACCGGCTGCGTGCTCAACAAAATGGAAACGAGTCATTTAAAGCTCGGATGCATCCAAATATAAAGAGAGTGAGCAAGAGGGAGCGAGAGCGTGTGAGTGAGAGGAAGACAGACAAAAGTGCGACATGTTTGACCTTCTTTATCACCGGGGTCGAAAAAAAGAGAATTTTTGACGTTTTCTTTGAGCTCCGTGATACTTTTTGTGAGCTCCGTGATATTTTTTGTGATCCCTGACCGGAGGATAGGATCCCTGGACAATTATTCGTCTTTCCCAACCGCCAACGCACCCACCTTTTTTTTTGATTGTGTTTTATGCAATGAATTGGTTTTTTGGCTCGGAACTGTCCTTTTGATCAACACTTTATTATTTAAAAAACAACGGCTATTCACTGGACTTAACAGATGAAATGGACAAATACACTCAAAAATTCGGATACTCTTATAGCAATAGAATAGACGATTGACATATTCGGAACTTGTCTTGAATTTGGGGGGGTGTCGTCTATTCGGTGTCTGATCCCGATGTATCGGCGTTGACGCGACTGGTGTTGCCCTCCTGCCCGGCAGAGATGTCGTGGCCAAGCTGCGCTAGCATGCATTTCGGGCAAATGGCAACTAAAATTTCGATTTTGAGGGGGAAACCGGGAAAATCTTACCTAGCATGACCTTGTAATTTTCGTCTTCGCCAATGTTTTCCTGGTAGGCCGCCAACGTCTCGCATCGCCATCCGTGCCGGCCGTCATCTCCGCTCAGGATGGCCTTCCGGACCGTCGGGATGCACTCCCTACAGAGCTGGTCGATGCCCTGGTGAGTGTGGCGGCCTTTCCTCGGGCTTAGACGGCAAACGGCGGCGTCGTCATGAACAAGCTCACCCTCGCCTTCATCCTTCTTCAGCTTCGAAGTGCCACATAATCCTTGCGATTCCTTCCGGCGTGCGGCTCTTCCAAGCCTCCCTGGCTCGGCAGGTCCCGTTGTACTCGCAGTGAGCAACCACAAGGTAATGACGACCATTGGCAGGCCGATCAGTAGACTTGAAGTTTATCTTGATCACTTTCTGATGCCCGGCGTCGATGCAGCCCATCGCCGGTCTGACGCGGAAGTTATCCGTGGTGTTGGACCTGACCTAAACAATACCAATGAGTTTCGGGTGTATCCGACAAGCTTTACTTTGAAAATTTGGCGCGCATCGGTTGTATTTTTTAGGATCACTTCTGCGTCGACGCCGTTCGGGTTCCAAAGACGATGCAAGTAGGCAGGCGGATCCAGTACCATCTTGAACGCCGGCTCCTGCTCCTCCTTCGGCAGATGCGGCTCCGGCTCTTCCTTCGGTTGTTGCTCGGTGGCCATCTTGCGGGTGCGGGTCGGTGGGGAGATGTTTTTTACGAGTGCCCATTTTTATTTTCTGTTCTCAACGTTAACACCGCACTTACGGTTCTGGAAGTTTCGGTATTCAAGCCAATATGCAAATTATGGCTACTTCCGGTTTCTTTGTGTTTTGGGTGAAAGTTTTAAAGATCTTCGATCTGGTCTGCGGCTTGATGCAGTACCATTGTTACTTCTCTCCATTCGAATTATTCGTTTGAAGATATTAATTTCTTATTAATTTTATATATGATTCCGGTGCTAATGCAGTTAGGGGGGGCATTCCGAAATTGGTAGTAAGGGGTTACGAGCCGCTCCGTTTAGCCTACTTGGTTTTCAGCTTAAGCCTAGGCGTAACTTAGTTTTAACCATGCTTAGCTTAGGCTTCGGGAACCTAAGCTTATGCCCAAGATAAGCTTATCTTCAGTTTTAAATTGCCTACGTGGTCAAAATGGGGTCATTTATGGTTAGCTTAGAGTTAAAAAAATTGAGGCTTGTGTCCGCCTTTAGTCAAAGAACGTGCATTAGTCTTTGTGGCTTCCTTATATTCGCATTATTCGCTCGCTTTTTGATTTTTATTGTTTTCAGGTCGGTGTCGGCACGTGGAGAACAAGCTCGGTGTGAGGACCTGAACAAGGAGTAGGACTGAAAGATGTTGAGACTCAACTTCGATAACTGCCCCCATTCTCCTGAGCATTCGAGCTGATTTTTGGCATCGTGCGAAGCTCCTAAGTGGTGGTTTTTACTGCCCTTCTCTTGCTTTTGGAACTTTTTTTAATGGAATTTCCGGCTTCAAGTAACTAGCATTCTCGATTTCCCCACTCCTGTTAGCATGGCGCGCAACTACCATATTTCCCCTCTCTGGCGCTCAACGAATCCGGGTTCATCTGCTGCAACCCGGTTTGGGTCACCGAGGTCGGCAGTCTCGAGCTGAACCGGTATGTTTCGTTTTGTATTTCCTGACCTTTCTTCTTATAGTGAGGGCGTAATCCTCGACAACGATGCTATCGAGCAAAGAAGATCTGTTTGGCAAGGCTCTAGTCACGCATGCCAAGGTATCTGATATTTTCGGTTTTCCATTTTAGTATGAAGATCGATGAGGTCGAGAATGGAAGGCCACGCCCGTCGAATCGTCCCCCGATGTTCATCAATGTACAACTATGCAGGAATGAGACGCTCTATGAAAAACAGCGGCCGCTTTTGTGATTCCAGCGGAGGCATCTTGCCTTTTTACTATTTGCTTTTGGAACTTTCTTTTTTTTAGAAATTTCACATTCGCCGCGCGATGGCTTGGCCGTAACGAAGGAGGTCGATGGGCGAGACGGCAAGCTCATCCGATTCGACGACACCAAGCCGGTCAAGGAACAAATCCACTACGCGAACGTGGGCCTGAACCAAGGATGTCCGGAGTCAGGTCGAAACGCGAGCCCATCAGCTCTTGAAAGAAGGTATTGTATTAGTGTCTCGCCTTCCTTCTTTCTTTATTTCTTTTTTTTAAACACTTTTCTTGTCTACTTCGTCATAGCATGTCTTTTGGGACCAGTCAAGAGTTGAAAGGGCCGAAACTGGGTAAAAGGGACACTATAGGCCCGGTTCCGACAGGAACTACTCTTCTGATGAGTGTCCCGCCCTTCTAGGAGTCTTTTTTAAATATCGAGCTCAAAAGTTAGAAGTTGTGCGGGCGAGTAAATTTTTGAGTAGAAATTTTGAGGTGCAGGGCGTTGGGCAGATATGCAAACGGGCTCTCGAAAACTTATGCTCATCTTTGTATTAATGCTTAATACCTTCCGAACCTTTGTTTACGCCTAGTTTGCGAGGATGATTTGCGGATACTAAACGTTTCTAGGCCTGTAAAACAGTTTATTTTCGTAGATCCCTGAATGCAACACATGTCACTCCATCCATTGTTAGCCGGCAAAAGCGGGTAGTGGTGAGGTGGAGGGAGAAGGCGTGCTCAGAGCACACAACCCCTACCTAAAATTGCTTTTATAGGGTCCAATCGTTAAATTCATTTTAGACGAAAGAGTTGTCCTGCCGCGGCTAGGAATCGAGCCCAAGTTTCCGGGGCTGAAGGTCATAGACCAACGCTTGGTCGGCAGAAAGCAGACCTCATGCCCAATAGCCATTCGAAAAGCGGATATTATGCGCTGTTTGCTTCTGCTGGAGGAGGGGATCATGCTCTAAATTTGGTTATATTGAATTTTAGGTACAGGAGCCTGACCCTGGCCATCAATCGTTTCATCTCCCCCGCCGGACAGTCCTTTTCAATCAGCCGAAAAGCCGTCGACCGATGACTGCGGAAGAGCTAAGGATATGGTGAAGGTACTTTTATTTTTGTTACCATTCCAGGGGAACGCCGAAATTCTCCTTTCACCGAGATCGCAGACCGCTTGTAGAGGTCACCTGCAGAAATGGGTACTATCAAGGTATAATTTAACTTTTTAATGGTTTTATGGTACTTTTTAGACGGATGCTGGCGTCACAAACCTCCAATTGCTCCAAAAACATCGTCGTCCTCGTCGCTTTTGGAGCTGGGTTGTGTTTTCTCTAAATAGGTTTTCTAGTTATCGAAGATCTCCTCGTACTCTGACTTCCACGACTCGTATTCAGCACCGTGCACTTTGGATCGGGCGGACAAGGCGGAGGTGGTGGACATGGAGGGCAAACGCCGTTCTGGAGCCAGAGGTATTGGTGTTTATCATTAGGGTTTGTAGGCGATATTGGAGTGTCATGTGACTTCGCTCAGTCGATAGAGCTTGAGACCCGGAACAAGCCGCAGCTTTCAAATACTGCCCAAACGAAGGCGCACTTTCAAAAATTAGCTTTGAACGGACCGATTTTGCTAATTTTTCGCTTCGGCTCGACAAAATAGCAACTCTTCCCGAAGACCTTTATCGTTCAGCAGTTTGTGCAAGGTGGGACTTCTTCGGGTTTTGAAACTCTATCCAATGAGCTGTATGACACGCCTACAAACTCCAATGTCACCTAAAAGCGGATTGCAAACCCATTCCCGTATCCTAAAGGTTCTCTGCTACACCTACGATTGGCATTCGGGCATTGTAGACGGCGTTCAGAACAGATTGGCCCGGGGTCACATAGGTGGGTGGTGGGACAAATCCCGCTGGACCGCTGGCGTATCCACCAGAGGGTGGAGAGCATGAGGAACCTATTCCAGGGTCGTGTCACTTTAGAAAATGGTGGAATTACAGCATGAAGGGGCGGACTGTCGACCACAGCATCCGCCGCCTCCCCCACCGCCGCCGCAGAAAACTAAAAAATGACTAAAGCTTTCCAAGGTTAGCTTCGACGTCAGCGACAATTTATGCTATTTATTTACAGTTTATTTTGCCAGTTTTCAGGCCGTCAGCGCGAAAAATTATTTTCATCGTCTCAAAAACGAATTTAGAAAATGCCTTGCGTTTTGGACGATTTTCCGTACTTTAACTTTCTAAAATAATAAGACCCAAGTAGAATTGCGCGATCGGCTCTTAATTAATAAGCTAGCGTATTATTACGTGCTATAATGCTGAAAATGGCTACTGAGTAACAGAACTTTAATGTTTGTCATATTATAAGTGTCCGCCGAGCTACAGCTACGACTTGCCCACAAAAAACTTACAACCGCGTCCTCTTTTCAAAAATAAACCCATAATGAATAGGAATAGCAGCGTTGAAATAAGCCTCATGGCAAAAACTTTCGCATCCACCGCGATCTGCCATGCATCGGCGGCAAATTGCCGGGTCAAAATCCGCGCCGGGCCGACTTGGGTGGCTCAATTATACCGCGATCCTTCTTCCACTCTTGCGACTTTTGCCCCTCCCCCCACAGGGCAAATTACGGTCCACCATAGGGCACATCTTGGCGCAAAAAGCGAAAACCATTTTCAAGGGTGTATTTCATGTCTGAATGGTCGTAAAAAATTTTATTATGTCCTGTCTTTGCGTTTTGACGAGTACATTCCGCTCCTCTGGACGACGCTTCAGGCCTTGATCGAATCACAGTATGCCCCATCTTGCTCCCATAACTGCCGCCCCTCGGCTACGGTTTCGTTGAAAATTGAGAGTCCATCAGAGTCTGTATACGATATTGTGGGTGTGTCTGAAAAGGTATCATAAATTAGCTTACAGCTTACAGGGTTTTTTTTAGTAATAATAATAAGCTAGTGTTTTCCTTTGTCGAAATTCTTTTTAGAACCTACAACATATTAAAAACCTAGTTGATTACCTAGGTATAACGGCTCCCAATATAGCGTGCGATACGCACAAATCAGCCACCGCTTCGGCGTCGAGCCCGGCGCGTATAGCTGACGGATTCCCTAGATTGGAATTTGTGCCGAAAGCTCAGTTCAGGCACTACGCTACGCTACGCTACTACTATTGCGCAGAGAGACATCCATGTAGCCCGTGCCGAAACTGCTTTTTAGATAAGGTAACCTACCGCCAACGCGTCCACCATCAACTGCATCCGGGCCGCGCTGTAGTCAAGCTGAATCGGCGGTTAGAGGCTTGCAGAGGCTACGCCAGCCTACCATGTACATGTACTGTACGGTGAATGCGGAGAATGCGTAGAGTGCATCGTTTTGGTAGACGGTCGCGAAATCGCGGGTGTACTGCTCGGTGAGCTGCAATTTTTGAGTTTCTCTGTCGATAAGGTTTATTAAATTCAGGTAACTTCACTATCGTCGTAAAATCACCCACGGTGTCCATGTCGCTGCCAAGTGGTCCATCATCCCCGAGCGCTTTCCACACCTGGCCCCGTATGTAACGATCCGAGGTGCAGAGGGCGCGCGCGAAACGGCGCAACGCGGCACCTATCGACGGGTCGGCGTCCTTAAAAGGTAAAGTTTTATTGGTGCTTCCTGGTTATCGGGAGTCGGTTATTTTAGCGGGGGGTCGGTTGCGAACTTTTTTCTATAATATCGTGCGGCTCGGCTAATTAAAAACTGGCCGTTTTTATAGACTTGTGCGCCGTTTGAAATGGTTCTGGACTGTTAGCGGGGGAGGAGACATTAAGAAAAACGTCATAAAACATGTTGAAAAAAAATTTCTTTTTCGGTCTAACGTATATGAAAATGGCTAAAACCGCGCTATAACCCTAGATTTCGTGACTATAGGATAAATATTTTTATAATTTTTGATTATCGGAAGCTACTAAAAACAGTATTAAAATAAACTACAATTTATCACTAGGCAGGTATAGGCTAAACGAAAAGTAGATGCCAACCGACCCCGCTAAAATAACCGACCCCCGATAACCAGGAAGCACCGTTTTATTGATGATACTTTAATAGAAAATACCTGTAAATGGTTGTCGACCCATCTTTTGACGGCTCGCTCCTTGTTTGAACAATACGATAGGTCGTCGGCCATCGTTTTTAGCTAGAAACGGCTGGTTTTGGTTTTAAACAAGCCATTTCTACCCGATAACTGTTGTAATAGTTTTAATTCACTTTCGCCCTCCTAAAAATCAGAGAAATAAACATAAATAAACATAAATAACGCTCGAAAAAGTTAATTTTCTTTGAAATCAGGCCCTTTTCTCTTCACAGCAGTGGATTTTCGTGTGGCGTTAAATACAGGTAATATCATATCAAAGGCACTTACCGCTTGCACATCCTCCTGCGAAGCCGCGTCCCCAATTATTGACTGTAAACGCAGCAGCGAATATTCGGGATGAAATGCATCTCCGACGACTACCCGACAAAGCAACGATACGAACAGCAGTAATGTGTCGCGATTGATGGCCATTCTATTGGCATTGAAGCTCGCCGGAAACGGGGCTTTTGCAATCGCAAAATGGCGAACGTGCGACCTTTTGGCACGCGCATGTTCGCAAATGAGCCGCTTATACGCGCCGGCGTTTATTGGTTTCGTGCCGGGAGAGCAATTATTTTTTGGGGGGCGCCCTCACGGCCATCGATCAAAAACGGAAGCGGGATTCATGGGGTGGATAAGGGGATAAAAATAAAGGTATTAAATTTATAGATACTTCAAAATTGATTTTGATATTTTTAAAGATAGTTTAAGCGCAATCGCGTAGCAATCCCGCCAATAGTGAAATTTAAAGTCCGATTTATGTAATTTTGGCGCGGTTCTATATGCGCCGATGCGCCTCGTTCAGTTTTTGCGGATCTTGTCGCTTACCGGTGGGGGCTAATTTTCCAGATTACGCCCGAAGCTTCTCGAGCTGATTTGTATCGTTTGTAACTACACAGTAACGTGGTCCACACTTTTTGCATCAGAAATTCTTTTATTCGAAAAAATAAACCATGACACGAGGGGAACCACCTTTTGAAGTACAAAATAATAAAGTGGAAATAGAAAATTCGCAAAATCGACCAAAGAAACGGGCAGCGGAGGTGCACACGCAGAGCAAAGTGCCCCCGCGCCAAACATTATTCATATGTTTTGAAGGGGAGGTGAACGTTTAGACTATAAGCTTATTAGATAGAATATTTTAGACTACTGTTATAGAGGGAGAGGGGGGCTGGAAGGGTGCGTCTCACGGTTGGGCTAGTCGACAATTCTCTGAATAAGGCCGCAACGAATTTCAAATTTATAATTTGCGTAAAAAGTAAATTCCAAAAGGCTAGTTTGCGTTTGTCAACAACGAAGATGCCTTCTCGAGCGTGCTGGATCGCAGCCGTCGATGCGAAAATTGAGGCCAGCAACAAGTGGGCAATGCTGGGGGGAAACGCCGATCCCTCTAGGAAACTACGAAACGCCTTGAATTTGCTGTGGAGGCAATAAATAATAGACAAATCGTTCTTTTTCGCGGTCAAAACAATTCAAAAGACTAGATGACGGGTGGGTCGAAGCTTGAGCAATGCTGAAAGTAGATGTCTGTGGCCTGGGGAGGGGGGGAATTGGCTAATCTTTTTGTGATCAAAATGGGGGTATAGAATTCGAATAAAAATTATAATCTTCCCTATAAAAATGCGACGAAGAAGAAAAAAACAACACGAGAAGTATGTGACAAAAGATATAGTGGGGGGCAGTGTCAAATCAAATGGGATGTTCCCTAAAATGTGGACAGTATTTTTGTGTACGGGATAGGGAGAATAAGGAAGGGGAAGGCAGTTTTTCGGGTGGAAAAGTATGGGGGGGAGATTATTAACTGCAAATTCTTATCATCCTGGGCGTAGAGGCACCATTAATAAACGTTATAAGAAAAATGGCATTGTTTTTCAGGTTATCTGGGCGGTCCTGAGGGGAGCAGGACTGTTTGGGAGTGATGGCTTGTGCGTTCGGGGGGACAAGCCTCGAGGAAAGTTACGATTTCGGGGACTTCTTCTTCTCGTAGGTGAGCACCTGGTAGAAGAGGAGCAGCAGCGAGAGATTGGCCACCGCCAGCAATAGAGGCACTTTGAAGCGCAGCAGCCATGCCTGAAAAACAAACTATGGGAATTAAAAAACGGAACTCACCCGAAAGGCCGGATGTACGAGATAGCGAAGCGGGTTTGCACGTAGCAGTACTCGTTCCTCTTCTTCCCGCAACACTTCTTGCCGTCGTTGGTGTGCCAATCGGGCGGCGTCTTCTCTTCTCAACCGGAGTCCCGTTTGTTCAAGGGCCGCCAAATTTGGCAATGATCCCATGTTCTCGTCCGTTTCCGCGTCGCGTGTCTCGGCTGATGGTGCGGCACGGTCTCGCGAGGAGGCCAATGTCGAGCGTCGGTTCAGGAACTGAAATTGATCGATTTCCATGGGTATTTAAAAAAATTTGAAGATTGGCCTTTCCAATTAGATTTTGCAAGGTCATATTTTAGAAAAAAATAATTCTGAACAAATTTGCGCCCCGTTATTAAATTGAAAAGGTCACAAACAGTTAGATATAGCGGTGAAAAAATTTTGGAATTTTTACTTTTCAAAAAAATCATTTTCGAAAGTAGCCTTACATTAGACTTTGTTGGTATGAAGCTAATTCTAGGCTTATCAGCGCTTCAGAGCTTGGGTTTAACAAAGCCATTTGGAGCGTTTTGTAGTCAAAATTCGGCCTGCCCACCCCTAAGTGCATTATTAGCACCTGATTCCCTGTACCCTTACATTTGGATTATTCTCGTTGATGTGGTCCGTCTGGCGGGTGAGTGACGGGCGATTGCGGCGTATCTTGGATTGTTGCGGATTTCCGGCCATGACATATTGATCGTAGTGATCGTCCGACAGGGAGAACCTAAGTAAATGCTTTTTAAACCGAGCGAAAATCCGCATACCTGGACCCGGACTTTGAGCTGCCCTGCTGCGATGAGGCGAATAAACTGCCGAGTGCCGACGGCTTCTGCGAGGGCGGCTGTGACTCGGACGGGCCACTAAGAAAACAAACTACAATTTCAGGAAGTCATAAGTCTACCTTTCGCCCGGATCGTGTGGCTGTGTGGGCATGTCTTCGGCGTGCGGGATGTTTGGCGACGTGGCGAGGGCAGCGGCTTGCATGCCAGGCTGTTGAACCTGTTGGTGTTGCTGGGGCTGCTGTTGCTGTTGTTGGGGGTGCTGTCCTGGTTGCATGGGCTGTTGATAGGCGCCGTAGCCGCCCTGCATCATGCTGGTGCTTGGGTGCATGGCCTGAAAACGGTGTGGATCCAAAAATCTTTCAAAAAGTCTAAAAAGTTTAAAAAGCGTATTTTCCGGTAATAGACTGTTAGCGGGGGGGGCTAACTTTTGCTTAGCAACCCGAAAGATACCAATAATGAAATAGAATCATTTTTGCAGATTTTTCATGTTCTGAAGCATTTAAGGTTCAGAAAAAGCCTTTGAATTCCGGAAAAATCGATTTTTGCCGCAATTTATAGATCTTTAATTTTTTAACCATAATTTATGTCTTTTTGTCCCCTACAAAAGTACATCCAGCTCCTCCAACTCCACCCACATGTTGTGCCATCATTCCCGGGTGCTGATGCTGCATGACGTGCTGCTGTTGGTAGTTCATCTGCGGCGGCGGGGCACCCATCGGCTGTCCGGGCATTGGGCTGTAGTACAACTGAAAAAAAACAATTGTTAGATCCACTTTTGAGATCAACAATTAGCCAGAGCAACCCATGCGAGTGTGGACGGACCGGGGGGAGAGGGTTAAAGGGACCGAGAAGTCATTAGGTATCCTATGGGCGTGCAGTACCCCGATTTTCCGGAGCGGTTAAAGGTATAAGCAAGGCATGGCTATGGATTTTTGGCTTAGGATTTACTATGGATTTTGCAGCGCCTGCGACCCGCGTCGCGTATCCATTACGCAACGTAAATGCTGGCCTGCTCGCGGCAAGATTCAACGGAAATCTATAAACAACAAAATCCATAGTCTTGCCCTGCCCTTTAAAGTGCACGTTCCGGTATCGTTCTCATGATGGGGTATTTGACGTTTCCCCGAAAACCAGTTCCCCCCAAACGAAACCAGCCCCCCGAAAACCAGGTCCCCAAAACCAGTTCCCGAAAACCAGTTCCCGGAAAACCAGTTCAGTTCCCGAAAACCAGTTCCCGGAAAACAGGTTCCCGGAAAACCAGTTCCCGGAAAACCAGTTCCCCGAAAACCGGTCCCCGAAAACCAGTTCCCCAAAAACCAGTTCCCGGAAAACCCAGTTCACGAGTTCCCCAGTTCCCCTAAAACCAGTACCCCAAAAAGCGTTTCCCAACAAGCAGACCCCAAAACCAGGTTCCCCGAAAAAACCAGTTCCCCGAAAGCCAGTTCCCCGAAAACCGGTTCCCCACGGGGCCCCCTCCGAGTTCCCCGAAAACCCCTTTAAAAACAAACCCGAATTCCCATCTGGGCTGGGTGTTTTGGGTTATGGTTTCCGTATCTTTGCGCTTCTGCGACTTTTTCGCGGGGGGAACCGGCATCCCCGGTCTTCGGTTTTCGGGGAGAGCTGGGGTTTTCGGGGACTGGTTTTTGGGAACTGGGGGGGGGGTTTGGTTGTGTTGTGTGCGCCCGGAATTTCCGGGTCATGATGCTACGTGAGTACCTAGAACGTGAAATTTAAAGAGACTGGAAGTGCGAGAATCGACCTGTACCGCCGACTAGCTCTCGGCCGCTATGCTACACGCCAAAACACGCTGTGACGGGTCGCTGTCGAGGCCTAGCCGACGGATCGGGTCGATTTTGGTAATTCCTGGTCCCTAGCGCCAGGTATGGGGTGGGTGTGAGCATTCGATAAGTATAGCTATGAAAATCGGGTACTGGACTGCTAGCGGGGGATTTTTAGAGGGAAAAGAATTTTTGTTCGTGTACGCATTAATAATAAATAAATAATTTGTTAATAATAAATAGGGTATTTTAATTATGTTTTTCATAGTTTTTGATCCCTAGAAAACCACGAAAATCAATTTTTTGAAAATTCAAAAATTTGATTTTTTAAGCCATTTTTCATACAATTTTTTACCAAGAATTGAACAATTTTGGAAATTTTGATGATTTTCCCCGCGCTTTTTAGATCTAAAAAAGGTGTAAGATGCTACAAAAATTGTTTATATTTTGTATAGAACCGGGAGTGGGAAAATGGGAAAATTCGTTTCCCCCCACTGCTAAAAGTCCAGTACCGAAAATCGCAGGGTCAGGTGGTGAACAGCAGTTCCAAAAGGTGCTCGAGGGAGGGGCGGGGGGGCTACCTGCTGCTGATTATGGTGTCTGTAGATGAGGTCGTGGGGCATTTGGCCTTGGATGGGCGTCTGCGGGGGGATCAGCTCGATCGTCGGCTGCAGAGAGTTCAGAGGTCAGCAACAAGAGAGAGAGAGAGAGAGAGAGGGTGGGAGCGATAGAATGGAGAGGGGGCAGAGAAAGAGAGCAAGCCGAAAAAGGGGAGTTTTACAAAAACATACCGTGTCCGCAAAATTGACGTGAACATCGGGGTGGATGGTGGTGGCGCCGGGGGGTAGATGATTTTGCTGGGCGTAGCCGACGTGGTTTGCGTAGGGCATGCCGTGGCCGGACGGCTCGCCCATGTCGAAGGAGGGCTGTTGCTCGAAGGAGGGCTGCTTAAAGGGTGGTTGAAAAATTGTTTTTTTTTAGATGAAAGGAGCCAGAAAGAGCTGGAAAAAAGCTAGGAAAAGCGATCTACTTTTCACTCAGTCAAAAAACGGTATTGTCAAAAAGCGTAGGTTCAGCCGTTGGTTTACATAGCTTATTTTCATTTTGTCAAAAGTTCACTTTGTCGAAATACAGTGACTTTTTCGTCTCGATTATACATCTACAACATTTCGCAAATCTCAGAGCATTGAAATGTCGACAAAATGAAATTTCGACAATGTTATTTCGACAAAACGAATTTCGACATACCGATAGCAAATCGATTTACATTACTACGTGCGCTACTATGTACGTAGCAAAAAACAGGCGTAAATAGGCGTCACGTGGAGCTAATGCCTGCGCGTGATCGGAATTTCGGTATTATCAAAATTCTGCAAGAATATTTGCTGTTATCACGGTAACCCCTTTCAACTTCTAGTTTCTAGCCCAAAACCGCCAGCTCTACCTGTGATTGTGCTCGCGAGTAGCTCCGTGACGGGTGCTCGATAGCGTCGAACGATTCCTGGGCGGCATGTGAAGATTCGAGGAGTTGCCGTCGCATGATATCCGTGCCCGGCTGCTTGAACGACGGGTCGAACTGCTTGGCGTGGATTCGGGCGACGTTCGAGTCTTCTTGAGCCTGGAAATTTACACGTATTTACTTTTTTAAAGCACAAAAATACCTGCTGGGCCATCAGCGTAGCCTGCTCTGCTCGTTCCTTTGCGGTACTCGTCCTCGACGCTGCGATGTCGGCCTGAAAATGGAAAACATGAAAGAAAACTGGGTTTTTTGGTGCTAATTCGTGTGGGGGTGGGTGGGCGGGCTTTTTGCTACGTTTCCATAAGCGCGCTATGATTAAATAGAAGTCATTTGAAGAATTATACGTCAGTTTTCGGTCGAAAAAGCTTGAAAACTCTGAACTGTTCGAAAAACCTTTTTTTTAGGATTTTAGTTTTTGACATTTTTTTTGTTTGTTAAGGTGAAAATTCATGAAAAATGGTGAAAAATGTCACAATTTTGGGCTTTTCAAGAATATTTTTCACAACTTTTTCGTAATTGGCATTTTTGAATACCTTTTGCTGTGCAATACTCGCCGCCCGATTCGCCGCCTCAACGCTGGCCTCAACACGTTCTCGGATTTTCGAAGACCGTACAAACAGCATGCCGCGCCGTCTCGTGGACACCACCAGCACGTTGTTCTTGTATTTGCCCTCTTCTTTCCTGAAAAATAAAGCCTAAAATTATCCAGAAAACCCGTACGTTCCATCCCGAAACGTTGTGACGCCATAGCCGTTTTTCGCGTTGTTCGACCATTCGCCATGATATTTTAGGCCGTCGGTTCTAGGAAATGGTAAAAATTAAACCATTAACAAGGATAGATACCTTTCACAGACGCCGAATCCCGATCGAGCATCATTTTTCCATTCTCCGCAGTAGGTTTCGATGGCATTTTCATCAATGTTTTCTTCCTGAAAATGAAAATTAATGATTTTGATTTTGCTCTGCAACTTGCATACGCTTTTCTACTCTACTTTCGAAACTTTTTAATGGCTACTACGATCTATTTTGTAGGATTTTCTATAAAATTCTTATTATCGTACAGCAATAGACAAGCAAACGAGTCCCGTCTTCCCAATCTCCTCATCCCTATCACATCGATGAATTCGCTTCGGCTCCCTTCGATCCCTACTCGCCGCCCGTTTTCTACAGGCTGCACAAGCATGTTTGTGCCCTTCGACCCCTCTTGGGGGCCCGCATTCCGTGACTATCCTCCGATTCGGTACTGTTTCCACTTGTTCGACAAGTACAGATTGGCACAAATCCCGGCGTTCAGCCCAATTTCTCCTGGCCGGCGTGCCGGTCCATCTGCAATATTCTGGCAATTCGGGAACCCGGGGTTCCGGATCAAGAGTTTCTTCCGAATTCGCGTTAGATCTTTCCTCGCTTATTGGAATGTTGCCAACGATTTCCGGTATGACTTTAAAATATTCGCCCCCGTCTTCAAAGTCGCGGGATAGCCGCTTGACTTTGCGCTTTGTTTCTGGGCTGAGCAAAGGCTCGAGTCAGAGGTTCTGGTTTTTCCACAGAGGGCTTTGTGATCGATTTCCGAAGGACAACATGATGATCGACTGGTTTCTGTGCGCCAAGAACTTCAACAGGTTCTGCCAAAACTGCTAGATCAGCTGCAGCAACAACCATCAAACTAGTTTTATGAATTTTCTGGCGGTCATCAGCAATTATCGCGCCGCTTCTTTTGCGCCCCTGCTGGACCTCAGGCGCGTCCACCGGCCCAAAATCAATCTCCCTGCTCCGATGGCTTCTGGGGAGGGTTCTCGTCCGGAATTGCGGGTCTTCGGGATGAGCGAGCTTCTCCCCGACCTGCATCCGGTTGACCGGCATCGTCTTCGACCACTCCTCATCCCCATCATGTAGTCTGTAGCCGGCCGTTTTCAACTCCCACTGACTTCCCTCCCCGACGACACCCTGCACGATTCGCGATCGGCTCAGGAATTCGGAGGGGTCCTGCTTGGAGACGGGCCCCTTCGGATGCCGCGCACATTTTCGATGACCCCCGTAATCGATCTGTGCCTCAAGGCTCAAATCGGGTCGGGATCTCGATCGTTTTTCCACATCCTCGACTACCAGAGCCTCATCATGGTACATTGATCTGTACTTCTGGTCCCGTCGTATCTTCTGCGTTCTGAATGCGTGTTTCGCGCGATCTTTGCGCGACTTTGGCTCTTCGGGCACCACATGATCATCATAGCCGATATATGGAGCATCGCCGGGCCGAAGCCGCGACGCGTCCCGCTCAGCCGGCTTCACGTCCAGCTTTCTCGGGCCGGTGGAGGGGAGCAGACTTTTGAGGAAGGCGGCCAGCAGCCGTTTTTTGGAGCGTCGCGTAGGGGTGGGTGGGGAGGAAATTTTGAAGGTTTTGGGGGAAGGGAGGTGGTGATTTAGCCAGGGTCGGCCAAAAAATTTCGTCAGTATCGGCCCGGTCAGAATATAGCCTCGAAAAGCGGAAGCATCGATTTCAGGTAGCAGGTGGTTACGGTAGCGGTGGCTATGACATAGGGCGCTGAATCAATGAATCAATCAGGACTAGGGGCCTCGAATCAAGAATAGCCGCGCGCGTTTTCGGCGCGGGCTGGTCGTCTTCTGTTTGCTAAAAAGCACCTTGGCTGTGGGGTGCGGTACGAGGCGGGTGCTTGAGGGTCTGAGGGAGGGAGATGATAGCCCACCGATGTCGCGTCGGGTCAGCAACGCTTTTGATTCAACGGGTTTTTTGGGGCTCGAAAAATCCGGGGGCCCAGGATCGCAAATATCCGCGAGATAGGGGGGAGGAGATGGGACGCAAAATTCGTAGCTTGCTCCCGCGGGAATGATCAGGCCACAAATTTGAAAAAAAGACTAATAAATTTGGTGCTGGTTCATTAACGGGGGGCAGCCTAACTTTTTCCTGTGATGAAATAATGGTCTTGTTTAATACGGGTTTACGTCCTTTGTCGCTAAAAAAATCAAAAGCCTATCAGTTTTTGTGTTTTTAGCTAAAAATATATGAAAAATAGCCAATTTTAATACTTTTTGACTACTTAAAATTTTTTATAACTATTTAGCTCCTAAAACACGGCAAAATAATTGATTTTTTAGTATCGATGTTGGAATCAAGGAAACCAGTTTCCCTCCCCCGCTAAAACACAAGAACCCAGAATTCCCTAAAGGCGAACCTCCTGCGCTGCAAAATCGCCGCGCCCTCGATGAAGCGAATCTTCGGAGGTGCAGCTCATCGTGCTCCCACTCGAGCGCAACGAACCTGAAAACGGCAAATTAAACGAATATTTCGTAAATTTCGTAAAACAAGGTTCGTACATTCAAAAACCAAAAAATTCTCGACGCAACGCGCAACGCAAAAAGAGGGACGGGATGATGATGATGTTGGCTGTTAGGGGCACGCGCAAATTAAAACAAATATTTTTAAGCGAGGCAGCTTTTCTGGGCTCGATTTCTGCATGGATGGCTTCTGACTGAAGGGTCGAATTTCCGGTTCAAATTCAGTCAAAAAAGGTTCAAAAGCATCCGATTCGACGAAGTAAAAAGTCATCCACGTATTTTCCGAAGATCGAGCCCGCACAAAACGAAAATAAAAAGTGAAGCGAAAACCTGACAGGCCAAAGGGAAATGAGACTCACGGGTGTCTGAAAAATGGGGCATATTCGATGAGAAAAGCCGTGAAAAACGAACCGGTCATCGAGGTGACACGCTGATGGATATCTCCGGTGCTGTGCTGCTTTTGTATCCGAAGTCCGGAAAGAATCGTTCGTTTCACGGCCAGGGATCGCTGAAAAATCACCTTCTTTATCTATTGTTGATTGGATAAGGCTTCCCAAACCGTTTTTAAAGGGGCTCCGAAATCTGGTCCACGGCCCCCTGCTGTGATTCCTGGCAAATAGCCAGATGCGACCGCACGCGACCGCGCCGCATGGTCTTTTGCCCCTGTTTGGACGCGAAAACGCTTGAATTTAAAAATTCTTATGCGATTTTTGGAATCCTCAACGAATTTGGATCATTCCAGACTTTTAAATTATGAAAATTGATCAGAGAATCGCCGGATCGAGGTTGGGGCCTTACGAGGCATTACGACATGTAATCGCCGCCCCTCAAAGGTCGTTTTCGCCCCAAAAAGAATTCAGTTTTTCTCAAATATTTTACGTTTTTTCGCAATCAAATCACTTTTCTGGCACTCCTCGGCAGCGACCCTTTCGTTTTTTGACCAGTAGGATCAATCCCCGCACGCACGAATTTTGACTTCCGAGCCCCTTTTAAGCTAAAAAAAAACAGAAAATATGTCTGCAAACAGTGTTATTAGCTTTAAAAAGACGATAAATTTTTGAGCGCATGTTTCCTTGGTATTTTTCGCATAAATAATAGCAAAACACCTCGCTTTTCTGTATTTCAAAAACCAACCTCAGAGAGTGAGCGTCTCCGGCGTGCCGGCGCCGAGCTGTTCGCCTTGAGCACGAAACCGCCTCGGCCATCTACCCGTTCCTCTGCAAAAAAATAAGTTCGATAAAACAGGTTTGTAAGCTCGCGGTCAGGATCAGAGCTAAAACTCACTATTTTCCTGCTCCTCGCCGCGGCCGCTTCGTAAACTCGTTAGGGAGGCGTTCGTCTGGAAAAAACGGTGTAAAAAATACGTCTAAATATAGAAAAGGTACAACAAAATCCGTAGAGCTCCAAAGTACACGCTCAACTGTGCCCTTATAAAATTTTCTCCTTACTTAGTTACTCTCCCCTTAGATGCCACCAAAACACCTTCTTAATCTGCGATATTTGGAAAAACCTAGTGAGTAATCTTCAAAGCTTTAAGGAATCGATAAAGCCGTTTTTGTACGCCGAAAACTTATTACAGGGCTGCGGAGAGCTCCAAAATACCCGTGCGCTCTTGTGACGTTTTCTTCTCATCAACAATAAAAAAACGTTCCCACCTGTGATTTGTTGCGAAACTTTGCGGCGACGGTGTAGGGGGCACTTTTGCGCATGCCGTAGCCGTGGCGCATCCCGCGAAGCCATTGGCCCTGGTATGAGCCTGGAAAGAAAAAGGTATTTCCTAAATTTTCTCTGCAAGTTAGCCTTGCTTCAATTAAGGCTGCATACCTTTACCCCATTTGGTGCTGATTCTGAATTTGTTTTCAGACACTACGAATAGATTAAATCGAAAAAAAGTTATGAAGAAACTTTTAAATGGGAAAAAGCCAAAAATGGCCTAATTTCGAGAAATTTTTGCCCTTTCCCGCATTGAGAAGCTTTAGAACTTTTTAAGTTTTCTGGTTTCGCAGATTCTGAGACCGGCTTCGGAATCAGCGCAAAATTCTGCACAAGTTAGGCCTTGTCCCGTGCCACTAAAAGACGTCTGCTTGTAACTAAAGTGTCAGTCGGAACTGTCTAAACCTTTCATAAATGTTCTCCACCAGCTTGCCGTGCTTTAATTCCGGCTAAATCTCGTTTTTTCCCCTCACCCCACCCCGAATACGATGATTGTTTATTTACGTGAGGAGGAGAATAGAGGGATGCCCCCCTCTGGGTGGGTTATCAAGAGGGGGGAAGTGCGGGTGGAGGGGGGAGAAGCCTTTTGTTGCTGGGCATCTCTTTTTCTCTTCGCTCTCTAACTCGTTATGCCGGTGTCCCTGGTTTACAGCAAAAGAGGCGAATGGAGCACATGCTCATGTCCGGGGTGGCCCTGACGAGGCCGTCCCCCGGGTACAGACATCGATTTACGAACGGCACAATGGCCCGCAAGGGGGAAGCTAGCAGAGGGTTTTGGGGAATGATGGAAGAATTGAGGAATTGATGATGGTATAAAAATGGTACTGGACTATTAGCGGGGGGGGGGATTATCGGGAAACCGAATTTTTCCTATAATTCCAGAGCTGCCTTTTAACGTAATAGTCAGTAACTAAATCATTTCAAGTGGAAAAACGATGAAAAAATTTTCTGTTTTTCTGTCCAAAATCAGCCGTTTTTGGTCAAAAAAATCGATTATTTTTCTATTTTTTAACCAAATTTTCTAAGTTTTACCCTCGGGAATCGAAAAAAAACACAGTTTAGATGCTTAGAAAAACAATAGAAAGAAGAAGAATTAGACGCTTTGAAAAATGTTGGATCTCCCGATAATAAAACACTAATAATAAAAAGTAGTAAAAATCACTCACCCTGATCGGCGTACACTTCAGTGCCATAGCCATCGTGGAATCCGGCGCTCCATGTGCCCTGGTATTTCGCTTGATTCGTCGTCGAGTGGCGGACACCGTAGCGGCCTTTCAGCCTGGAAAATGTGAGGGTGAAATGTGGATTTTAAAATAAATAAATCAGTACATTAACAGGGCATAAATTATATAAATTTATTATATGGTTAAGTTTTTCATCTAAACCAAGGATAAAAGGATAAAAGGATAAAAGGATAAAAAGATAGAGCAATTCGCTAACCCCTGTGTCCACTCTCCGCGGTAGACCCATCTTCCGCGTGCCTCGATGCCGAGCCCGTGGCGTTTCCCGTTCTGCCATTGGCCCTGGTAGGTGTTGCCAGATGGCCATGTATAAACGCCGGACACCTAAGAACGGATGATTATTGTATATTTTAGTTATATAACTCATATTAGGCGTAAATTGAACTTTGCTTAGGTTTGGGCTTAGACAAGGGCTTTTCGAGGTGGTTTATCGGGGGGAAAACCAACTTTTTGCCCTCCAGTTTTTCTAATACAAATCGAGTAAATTTTTCTAAAGCATTTTGATTGAAATATAAACGTAAAATCTTTACAAATTTGGATTAAGAAAATCGATAAAAATGTTGATTTTTTCAACGAAAACTGGCCAATTTCGTTCGGAATTTTGACTGAAGATTTTTCTAGTTTTTTCCAATAAATTAATATAACAATAATACAAATTTCCCTTAAATATAGTTGAATTTCACTCAAAACACTATTAAAATACTTACTATTACGTTACCAGGTATTTCTGGACTAATAGAAACCCCCCCCCATATTGCAAAAGCACCAGTTTAAGTAAAAACGAAAAAAGTACGTAAATTTGAGTAAAAATAATGAAAAATAAAGTGGATAGGTGCATATTAAATACTATACTAATTCAATAACAATAATGCATCGATTTTAACCTATCAAAAGCTTAAAAAACAACCGACCTCAAAGCCGTAGTGCCATGCGCCCGCGTACTCGCCTTTGCCCTGGGGACCCGTGCAGACGCCGTGGCCGTGCGCCTGAAAATTGAGTATAAACAAATATTAATAATAAAATAATTTAAAATAGAGGCGCAGGTAAACTAGCAAAGATTGAGGCGGAAACAAACCTTTCCCTCCTCCCATCCGCCACAATAGGAGCCTCCGTCGTCAAAGTCAAAGCGGCCTCCGTTCATCGCTGGCCAACGCCCGCGCCAAGCTCACTCGCATCCCAGCACCGAGCCTGCAGATCAAATTAAATTAGATTGTTTGTAGTTTGTAGTTTCCCGATTTTTAGGCGATTCACCGGAAACGTAAGAGCGCAAAGAAAAATGAGGATTTTGCGGTGAAAACTTGACATTTGAAATAGCTAGTCGAGAAATCGAGAAATTAAAAGTAGCCATAAAAATGCTAAAAATGTATATTATGCTAGTAAACGTAGTTTAAGAAGTATAATTTAAATATTTTGAACTTTTTGGCTGGTTTATTTCCAGCACGGAGCCTGTAAAATTAGAAAGTTAAACGTTTGTCGTTTAGTATAAGAATTACCCGGACGAATCCCCGAAGAAGTAAAGAAAATTACGGTTTTTATGGTGAAAAATGCAAACCATCCGTTTTTTCGCAAGAAGCTTAAGCGTCAAACTATAAAAACGGACGTACTTGAAAATCATCACAAATGTCGAGTTTTACGGGCAACATTGCCAAATTTCAACCTTATAACAAGAAATCTATCAAAAAAAAACCCCAGCCAAAAACCATAAAAATTGACCAAAAACTCCAAATATTTCCAAAATTCCTCAATTCTCTCAGCTCGCCTGCCACCAACACCAACCTGCCACTGTGATACGCTGCCGGCTGGGTGGAGGGGGTGTTCTGGGGAAAGGGAGATGCGCACCGCCGGGGGGAAAAGCCAATCGGGTCGCGTTGTGTTCGGGCACGCGTCAGCAAGACGTTCAGGCGATGCGAAATAGGGCTATCCTTCGTGGGGGTCCGTTCTTTGCGGGGGCAGCAGCTCTGAATACTCGCGTCGCGCCTCGTCCCACCGTTGGGTCGCTGGAAAGGTTGGGTTAAAAAGAGCGAAATGAGAAAATAGCTGGAATCGAGAGAGAAAAAGTAATGACAATAGTGGAATACAACGGAATAACGGTAAAATCATATTATCTAGGGCGTGTTTTTTCAAAGTCGTAGGTAACGCTCGAAAACAGTAAAATTTAAGGGGTTTTGTCAAAAATTAAAAAGAGAGAGCTAGGGGAAGCTAGCGGAGAGCATTGAGGAATTCGATAGAGGGCGAGAGAGGGAGCGAGGGAGAGAAAGAGAGAGAGACAGAGAGAGATGGAGAGAGAGATGGAGAGGAGAGAGATGGAGAGAGCGAGAGAGTGAGAGAGAGCGAAAAAGAGAGAGAGAGAGATTGCGAGAGGGAAGGAGCAAGAGAGACTCAGTTGTGTATTTTGAGTCACACTTCCCGATTTCTAAATCATGACTTCCTGTAGCCGATTTCCCATTTCTCACTTTTCAAGAAATCCCCACGGGTTCGTACCCCCACCAGTGCAACATTTTGCAGTTTTTCCAAAATCAGAGCGGTCAACGGTCTCTATTTGAAAAACTAAAGTAATGGGTGGGGAGAGAGATAGAAACGGTCCCAGGGGGGATGGCGGGTAGTAGTAATTATAAAAAGTATCGGCAGAGGCGAGAGAGAGAGAGAGAGAGAGAGAGAGCGAGTGATTCTTCTCTATCTTCCCCCATGGGAGATGTCCTCTCTGAAAACGCCGGGCGGCGGCGGTGGCTGGCTGGGGCCCGGTGAGAGCTGGAAGAAGAGAAAGAGACTGGGTCCCTGAGGGGCGATCGATAGAGGCCGACAACTGACACTCCAAGCACAGCCCCCACCACCACAGAGAGAGAGAGAGAGAGAGAGAGAGAGAGAGCCACCGCCATCCCTTTTCTCAAAAGGCTTCTTCTTCTCGTGCTTCTTCCACCTCCACCTACCCACACCTCATCCACCCCCCTTCCCACACCACCATCAGGGGCCCCGGAGGGCACACCTGAACTTCACGAAAAAAGTAGCGGAAGTCTTGGGGCTCTCCAGATACGCCCGGCGCAGCTTTTTAGCAGTAAAAAAATTTGTAAATTTGCGTAGCGTTCTCTTGCTGGCAGTTAGAAGACTTGCAGTAACTGCAAAACGTGCAGTCGCCTGAAAACGCTAATTATGAAGGGTTTTTCTACTGAATAAATTAATTTAAGGCTGATTCTATAAAGAATACCAGCATCAACGAATCGTAAGATAGTGTTCTTTTGGTTAAAAAATCGTATTGCGACCGTTTGGGAAGCGCCAAAATGCCGACCGGCCAAAACACGGACATCGAAAATCCCGCCAGTCTAAAATCCCGACAGCTGAAATCTCGACGGAAATACCCCCGACAACTATAATCCCGATAGCCAAAATTCCACATGAAAATTAGAGTTCAAAAATGCACATATTTTAAAAGGAAGTAGCATTCCAACTAGCATCATGAATCTGCCGGGTTTTTGTTTGTCGGTATTTTCGCCTGTCGGGATTTGCCATCGGGATTTTAGCTGTCGGGATTTTAGTCTGGCGGGATTTTTGCTAACAGGGTTATTGCTGTCGAGGTTTTGACTTGTCGAGATTTTCGCTACCTCCATTGCCATTGGCCTGTCGGCATTATGGCGGTCGAGGTTATTGCCGGAGTCCGACCGTTTTTCTACCCCAGAAAATGACCGCCTTCCACGAGAAAAACAAGCAACTCCAAGTCCCAAAGGCGAAAACTGGAGCAAACTCAGATTTCTATATGCACCATAATTCCTTAAGATAAGCTTCTACAACTTTTAAGATTCAAAAAACCTAAAAATCACACCTTTAAACCGTGAAAACAGGGCAGAAAAAAACGCGCGCGAGATCCAGAAGATTTAGCACAGAAAGTAAGTGCGAAAAGAGGAACAAGAAGGACGCAAATTTCCCCGTGGCCGATGCGGGTAACCAGATTGAGGACAAGAAGAGAGAGAGAGAGAGAGAGAGAGAGAGAGAGAGCGAGAGCGAGAGAGACACGGCTTCTCCCTCTTCCAAGCGCCGAGCATCAACAAAAGGCATTTTCCGCATCGAGGCAAGTGACGGACTGCTGTCTCTAGTCGGCTCTTCAGAATATCTCACAAGAATCCCTAGAATCCACCCACGCTCTCGGGGACATCTGATGGAAAATAGAACTTCAAAAGCTGATAGGTCTAAAACTAGTGACTGGGCTTGGGCCAAGGCTTAGGCTTGGCTTAGGCTTCAGACTTAGGCTTGGCTTGGGCTGAGGCTGACAAGGGAACCTCAAGTTGGCACGGTGGAGTTTCGAAAAAGGCTGGCGGCTACCCCTAGGTTTTCGCCTATGGCGATTCCAACGCTCTAGTCAGAATTTCCTAAATGGGCCTCTGGACAGAGATACAGCACTTCCGGAAAATGATGATTTACATCCGAAAAATTAGCATTAGCGATAGGTTTATGAGGCTCTCCCATCACTATGGAATCACCAGTTGAATGGCCGAGTGGTAAGCGACTCACTTGATAGGATACTGACGAGGGTTCGAATCCGCTCACGATTTTTTTTTATTTTGCTTTTTGACCGCAACTTTCTGCCCAACTCCAACTTTTTATTTTGACTATAGGAAAAATTTTTTCTTTATGCTCCCAGGCTGAATTCTCCCAAGAAGGCTCAAAACTCCCTCGAAATTTTTTGCATTTTTTTGGCTTTCCCAATGCTTTTAGACGTTTTAGAAAGAGAACGAATTTTCGAAAAAAGTAACCAAAAGTCGGGGTTGGGCAGAAAGTTCCGGTCAAAAAGCAAAATAAAAAAATCGTGAGCGGATTCGAACCCTCGTCAGTATCCTATCAAGTGAGTCGCTTACCACTCGGCCATTCAACTGGTGATTCCATAGTGATGGGAGAGCCTCATAAACCTATCGCTAATGCTAATTTTTCGGATGTAAATCATCATTTTCCGGAAGTGCTGTATCTCTGTCCAGAGGCCCATTTAGGAAATTCTGACTAGAGCGTTGGAATCGCCATAGGCGAAAACCTAGGGGTAGCCGCCAGCCTTTTTCGAAACTCCACCGTGCCAACTTGAGGTTCCCTTGTGAGGCTTAGGATTAGACATAGGCTTGGTTTGACATAGGTTTACGCAGGCACTGGGTTAGCCTAGGCTTAGGCTAAACAGGCTTAGCTTTTGTTAGGCATAGGCTTCTACTTAGACCCACGTTTAGGCTTGGCTTAGGCTTAGGCTTAGGCCTTGTTACCGAGGATACACTGACCAGATTTCTGTCAAAATCCGCAAACAATCAATCCTCAAAGTTA